TAAAAAATCCCCTTGATTCTCTATCCTGGTCTTCAATTAAAAAATAAGCTCTAGCTGCCTCTTAACCCCTCTTTTAATGCTCCCGCCATCCACTCTGTTCCAGCTTCTTTTTCTTGTCTATTTTGGTTTAGATAGCTGTGAAAGACAGATATTACTCTCACTTGTCAAACTGGGAAAGTGGATTGAGAGATGTCGTGCAGGCCTCAGTGTCCTGAGTGTCTCTGTATCCCCAGCGTGATGCATATGGTTCCCCCTTCCTTGCCTTAAAGCCACCACCTGTGTGCTTCTCTCTTCACCGCTCGGCGGAGTGAGAAAAGGGCTGTCCTGCAGAGTGTAGGGCAGGCACCTGATTACTTGCCGGTGTGAGTGAGCTACAAAAAGCTTTCAGTGGTCAGTGGGCTGCAGTGAACAAACAGCAGGAACCTCCTGAAGAAAACAGCATGAGGTGGCCCAGAGAACACCTTTGAAGCCAAGGTGGGTGCTTCCAGCAGGCTTCCCACCGCCTGGCCTTGCAAAAGCTCTTGACCTTCTGGACCTCAGTTTGCCTTTGACATAGAGGGACCTACCTTGCAGAATTCTTACAAGCCTTCAGTGAGAAAATGTAAATGCATTTCTTTCTTCTGCTCTCTTTCCTTTCTCCACACGTCATTTCCTTTCTTCCATTGTCATGGAAGGCGGAGGTTCAGTTGAGATCTGGTTAGTACTGGAAAGTGTCAAGAATTTTCCATTTTGCTGAATTCGTTTATTAGCTCTAATAGTTTCTTTGTAGAGCCTTTTGGGTCTGCTAGGTATAGAATCATATCATCTGCAAATAGTGATAATTTATGTTCTTCTTTTCCTATTTTTATGCCTTTAATTTCTTTCGTCTGTCTAATTGCTCTGGCCAGTGTTTCGAGAACTATGTTGAAGAGAAGTGGAGAGAGAGGGCATCCCTGTCTTGTTCCAGATTTTAGAGGGAATGCCTTCAGTTTTTCTCCATTCAGAATGATGCTAGCCTGAGGCTTAGCATAGATTGCTTTTACAATATTGAGGTATGTTCCTGTTATCCCTAGTTTTTCTAGAGTTTTGAACATAAAGCGATGCTGTACTTTGTCGAATGCTTTTTCCGCATCTATCGAGATGATCATATGGTTCTTATTTTTAAGTCTATTGATGTGGTGAATAACATTTATTGATTTCCGTATATTGAACCAGCCTTGCATCCCAGGGATGAATCCTACTTGATCATGGTGTACAATTTTTTTGATATGTTTTTGTATCCGATTTGCCAGAATTTTATTGAGGATTTTTGCATCTAGGTTCATTAGAGATATTGGTCTGTAGTTTTCTTTCTTTGAAGTGTCTTTGTCTGGTTTAGGTATCAGGGTGATGTTGGCCTCATAGAATGAATTTGGAAGTTCTCCCTCCTTTTCTATTTCCCGAAGTAGCTTGAAAAGTATTGGTATTAGTTCTTCTTTAAAGGTTTTGTAAAATTCTGCTGTATACCCATCCGGACCTGGGCTTTTCTTAGTTGGTAGTCTTTTTATGGTTTCTTCTATTTCCTCAATTGATATTGGTCTGTTTAGGTTGTCTATATCCTCCTGACTCAATCTGGGCAGATCATATGACTTAAGAAATTTATCTATGCCTTCACTATCTTCTAATTTATTGGAGTATAAGGATTCAAAATAGTTTTTGATTATCTTCTGTATTTCTGAAGTGTCTGTTGTGATATTGCCTTTTTCATCCCGTATGCTAGTAATTTGAGTTCTCTCTCTTCTTCTCTTCGCTAGCATGGCTAAGGGTCTGTCGATTTTGTTTATTTTTTCAAAGAACCAACTTTTAGTTTTGTCAATTTTTTCAATTGTTTCTTTTGTTTCGATTTCATTAATTTCAGCTCTGATTTTAATTATTTCTTGCCTTCTACTTCTTTTGCTGTTGTTTTGTCTTCTTTTCCTAGGATTTTGAGATGAAGTATGAGATCATTTATTTGTTGTTTTTTTCTTTTTTTAAGGAATGAACTCCAAGCAATGAATTTTCCTCTTAGAACTGCTTTCAATGTGTCCCATAGATTCCGATATGTTGTGTCTGTGTTTTCATTTATCTCTAAGAATTTTTTAATTTCCTTCTTGATGTCTTCTATAACCCATTGATCATTCAGTAACCTATTGTTCATTCTCCAAGTGGTGTATGCTTTTTCCTTCCTTCTTTTATCGTTGATTTTCAGTTTCATTCCATTATGATCAGATAAGATGCATGGTATTATCTCTACTCCTTTATATTGTCTAAGAGTTGCCCTGTGACATAATATATGATCTATTTTTGAGAAGGATCCATGTGCTGCTGAGAAAAAAGTGTAACTGCTTGATGTTGGGTGGTATACTCTATATATGTCAATTAGGTCTAGGTTATTAATAGTGTTATTGAGTTCTATAGTTTCCTTATTCAACTTTTGTTTGGAAGATCTGTCCAGTGGCGAGAGAGGTGTGTTGAAGTCTCCCATGATTATGGTGTGGTGGTCTATTAGACTCTTGAACTTGAGAAGAGTTTGTTTGACGAACATAGCTGCACCATTGTTTGGGGCATAAATATTTATGATTGTTATGTCTTGTTGGTGTATGGTTCCCTTCATAAATCAAAGGCATTCCTGTATATCAGCGACAAATCCTCTGAAATGGAAATGAGGACAACCACTCCATTCAAAATATCTTCAAAAAAAATAAAATACTTGGGAATCAACCTAACAAAAGAGGTGAAAGACTTATACAATGAAAACTACAGAACCCTAAAGAGAGAAATAGAAGAAGATCTTAGAAGATGGAAAAATATACCCTGTTCATGGATAGGCAGAACTAACATCATCAAAATGGCGATATTACCAAAAGTTCTCTATAGGTTTAATGCAATGCCAATCAAAATCCCAACGGCATTTCTTGTAGAAATAGAGAAAGCAATCATGAAATTCATATAGAAAAATAAAAGACCCAGAATAGCAAAAACAATGCTAAGCAAGAAGTGTGAATCAGGCGGTATAGCGATACCAGACTTCAAACTATACTACAGAGCAATAGTGACAAAAACAGCATGGTACTGGTACCAAAACAGGCGGGTGGACCAATGGTACAGAATAGAGGACACAGAAACCAATCCACAAAACTACAACTATCTTATATTTGATAAAGGGGCTAAAAGCATGCAATGGAGGAAGGATAGCATCTTCAACAAATGGTGCTGGGAAAACTGGAAATCCATATGCAACAAAATGAAACTGAATCCCTTTCTCTCGCCATGCACAAAAGTGAATTCAAAATGGATCAAGGAGCTTGATATCAAATCAGAGATGCGCCGTCTGATAGAAGAAAAAGTTGGCTATGATCTACAGTCGGTGGGGTCGGGCTCCAAATTCCTCAATAGGACACCCATAGCACAAAAGTTAATAACTAGAATCAACAAATGGGACTTACTCAAACTAAAAAGTTTTTTCTTAGCAAAAGAAACAATAAGAGAGGTAAATAGGGAGCCTACACCCTGGGAACAAATCTTTACTCCTCACACTTCAGATAGAGCCCTAATATCCAGAGTATACAAAGAACTCCAAAAATTAGACAATAAGAGAACAAACAACCCAATCAACAAATGGGCCAAGGACCTGAACAGACACTTCTCAGAGGAGGACATACAGTCAATCAACAAGTACATGAAAAAATGCTCACCATCTCTAGCTGTCAGAGAAATGCAAATCAAAACCACCCTAAGATACCATCTCACTCCAGTAAGATTGGCAGCCATTAGGAAGTCAAACAACAACAAGTGCTGGCGAGGATGTGGGGAAAAGGGTACACTTGTACATTGCTGGTGGGATGCAGATTGGTGCAGCCAATTTGGAAAGCAATATGGAGATTTCTTGGAAAGCTGGGAATGGAACCACCATTTGACCCTGCTATTCCCCTTCTTGGTCTATTCCCTGAAGACCTAAAAAGAGCATGCTACAGGGACACTGCTACATCGATGTTCATAGCAGCACAGTTCACAATAGCAAGACTGTGGAACCAACCTAGATGCCCTTCAATAGACGAATGGATAAAAAAAATGTGGCATTTATACACAATGGAGTATTACTCTGCATTAAAAAATGACAAAATCATAGAATTTACAGGGAAATGGATGGCATTAGAGCAGATTATGCTAAGTGAAGCTAGCCAATCCCTAAAAAACAAATGCCAAATGTCTTCTTTGATATAAGGAGAGTAACTAAGAACAGAGTAGGGACGAAGAGCAGGAGAAGAAGATTAACATTTAACAGGGATGAGAGGTGGGAGGGAAAGGGAGAGAGAAGGGAAATTGCATGGTTATGGAAGGAGACCCTCAGGGTTATACAGTGGAGGGGGTAGAGAGAGAGGAGGGGAGGGGAGGGGAGAGGTGGGGAGGGGGGAGGGTGGAGGATGGGAAAGGCAGCGGAGCACAACAGACACTAGTATGGCAATTTGTAAATCAATGGATGTGTAACTGATGTGATTCTGCAATCTGTGTATGGGGTGAAGGTGGGAGTTCATAACCCACTTGAATCAAAGTGTGGAATATGATATGTCAAGAAATTTGTAATGTTTTGAACAACCCACAATAAAAAATTAAAAAAAAAAAAAAAAAGAATTTTCCATTTCTTTCTCTTGCCCCAGGTGTATGCTAACTACATTGATTCATTAATTGTATCATTTAATCCTCAACATCAACCTGAGAAGGACTTAGTGATTATTGGCCCCATTTCATAGATACAGAGACTGAACTCTAAAGAGGGTTAAATAATTTACATTCTGATGATATAAAAAGTTCATTTTGATTCATACTAGAAGCCCAAATCTAGACCTCAGAGTGATTGATTGCTAATGTAGTAAGCAAACATTTTTCACAGTTCAGCTCATAGTTGACATACACCTTACATATAAAATGTAAACGTCTTCTGCTTCTTTTAGATATCTATCATTGATTATTACAAATGAATAAATATGTTTTGATTTTTTTAGAGTTCCTCTTCCTCAGCTAAGGAATATGATAGAAGATGTTGCCCAAACTTTAACATTTATGTATGGTTCTTTAGATAGGTAAGTACTTCTTTGAGCTGACTCTCAAGTTTTAAATACATGATTCTGTATCACCTTTGGCCCTTAGTACTATTTCTTGCTTGAGAAGTTACCTGTTTGGTTCCTCTCTTCTTCCATATTATAATTGTCTCATTTTATACTAGTTTTTATTCTGTAATGCTGGGCAGTTTTTCTTTTGATCCATTTCTTTTTTTCCTTTTTGGGGGGAGGGTTATTACGTTAATGAAATTTTTAGTGGACTAGTGATACTATATTATATAGTGATCACTGTAAAACTTAGTGAGTCGGTTTATTTCTGTAGGGGCAAATGTCAGAGGATTTCTCCATAACAGATACAGAGAAAAGTAAGACTCTAAATTAAAGTTTTATATTTTCTATTCCTTTAAGACCATTGTCCAATTCACTGTCCTAAAATACAATGTTTCTTTCTCAAAAAAACATTTTACTTACAAAATGCACTGGTATAAAAAATATACGACAGAGAAGGCACTGAACATTTTCATGTTATTTTTCTATATATTTTCTACACAATATGAATGTATATGCTCTTTCTTTACACATTGAGCCCGTATTATACATATCCTTCTGCTTCTCACTTTTTTAGCCTTACACTTTAATGCGATGCACATTTCTTGATTTGAAGATGGAAATTTGAGATAACTATTCAACATTCAAGAATGCAAAATCATGGATGTAAAATGGATTTTTCTCTTAGTGGGATTTTTCTACGTTTCCTACTTCTAAGGGCTAAAATGATAGTTTTGCTTCCAAAGCCTTGAGAGCGTATCAGCATAAAAATCCAAACATTTTTCCAAACCATGGTGTTCTGCTCTATGGTGGATCTTTATTGTTAACTGTTCTCAAAGCATCATGGAGAATTTTCTGTGATGATGTCATCTAGCAAAACTATCTGTCTAGTTTGCAGTGTTTTACTGGAGGAGCCTAGAAGAGGTCAGCACATTCCTCCCCACCTGATTACTTGCCTGCATGAGTGAACTACAAAAAGCAGGCATCTATACATAATGCTTTTACCTTTCACTAATCCAAAAATGTTTAACTAGTGAAGAGTAAGAGTGTAGTTATGAACTACCTCCTTAAATTTGCACTAGAGAAGCAAACTGCTGTATTACGCCATGTACAGCAAAGCTTTTTGCACCCATAAAATGAGAGACTATCAAAGTTTAAGTTTCTGCAATGACTTTTAATACATGAAACAGTCAACTGAAGTTGCTCTGAAAATTTCCAGTGAATCAGGTTGGGGGCAGAGGGACTCAGTTTCTCTGAATCTCCTCTTGAAGTTTAGCTTTCATTGATTTGGAAGTATTTCCAAGATGGGAGCAAATTTAGTTTCTGTTTGTTCAAGTGAGAATTTGAAGAACAAACCAATATACTAAATGTGAAGATTCACTGAATTCTTAAAACTAAAAAGCAATATGAACCCAAGATGTTAATAGAAATTTTATAATATTTTAATAACAAAGTTTTTTCTGATTATGGAACATATTAAGGGCCCATCATGAAAAATTACAAAAAATATTTTTATAAGTCCAAAGATCGAATTATCTTTTTAAAGTTGTGAGCTGTTTAGTTCCCTGTAAGCCATAGAAAACGGATTTACGTATTAACAGGTTACTATTGTGGTCCAATTAAAGATCTAACATTTTCCTCCACCATTCCCAACCAGTCCATCTTGGTGTGTCTCAAAGCATGTCTCCATTCCAGCCAACCTCTCCATCGTCACTGTGGCCCTGCGCAGCCACTGCTGTGTCACACTACAGTAGCCTGACTAGTATCCTTACCTCATTTCTTGCCACTTTAATTAATTTTCATAAAGCAGTTAAAGTTATCTTTCTACACTATTGTCGGCGCCTCTCCACCTGTTTGACATCAGACCTCAAACCACACCCCTCTCTACCCTGTACTATGGGGTAAAGCTTACTCTGCCTTAGGGCTTTTATACCCTTTCCTCCTTGGGATATCAGCATAAATGCCTCATGCTTAGAAACTCTTCCTTAATCATTTTATCTAAAATAGCCAAGTATCCAGGCATGATGGCACACACTTGTAGTTCCTATTTCTTGGAAGGCTAAGATGGGAGGATCACTTGAGCCAGAGTACAAGACTAACCTAGGCAATGTTGGGAGACCCAGGCTTAAAAATAAAAATGAGGAAATAGAATAACTAAGCAGTCCTGACCCCCATTCCCATCAGCCTCTTCTCTGCATAGTCCTGTGTAGGTATGCAGGGTTTCACCGGCTGCTCATTCATTCTCTCTCCATTAGAATCACGGCCCCGGAGCTCCTTGTCTTTTGTCTTGATGTTACTGCTGTGCCTCCGGAATTGAGATGGTGCCGGAACATGAAGACACTCAGATATTTGCTGGACGAATCAGTGAAAGTTCTTTTCTTTTCTTTTGTACTGGGGATTTGAACCCAGAAGTGCTTTACTACTGAGCCACATCCCCACCCCTTTTTGTTTTGGGTCAGGGTCTCACCAAGTTGTTTATTGCCATGCTTAGTTGCTGAGGCTGGCTGTGTGATCCTGCTGCCTCAGCCTCCAAGCCACTGGGATCACAGGTACACCAGGTGTGTGCCCATATCTGGAGTGAATGTTATTTTGTCATGTTAATGTCCCAGGTACCAGTTATGTGTGAGCTAGTAGCTGTTCCAATAAATGGTTGCAGTTAGTGCTGTGTTACTTTTAAATAGCTAAAACCAAGTATTCTCTCTTTCTTTCTCCCTCCTCCAGTAATTATGCCTCAGTAATGGAGAGGAAAAAGGAATAATTTATGTTCCGTATTTTCACTTACTGCATGCTACACTAGTTAGTTATAAGCATATTAAAAACGTAGGCATGTTATGTACTAGGTAGTTTATAGTGACTTCAATTATATTAACCCGTTTTTCACAGAGTTGGAAGCCAAAATTCAGAGAGAGGTTAGGTGATTTGTCCCATGACAGCTGTTTAGTAAGAGCAGAGGTAAGTTGCAAAGCCAAGTCTCCACTATTACAAAGGTCGGAATCTCTTTATTACATTTTGCCTCAAAGATAGCAGGAGTGATAAATGGTTGAGAAATAGTCAAAGGTAAATGCAACTTACATTTTCTACAAAAAACAAACAAAACCCAAAGCCGGTTTCCCTGTGCTGTCCTAACTTCAGCCCTTATTCCTTCAGGTCCTTTGGCCAGGTTGAGAATGCTCCTCGTTTGGATCATTTCTTCACCTTGTTCTTTCAAAGAGCGCTGCAGCCTGCCAGCCCCCCTCCCTGTGCCAGTCCCAGTGCTTGGCAGAACGAAGCTTCCAGTGCAGCGCTTTTAGACAACCTCCCTGGAGTTCGGTGGCTCACACTTCCACAGGAAATCAAGGTAGCGTTAGGTGTCAAAAATAAGAGTCAGTCTGCTAAAAATAACAAAATCGCTCGTTTTAAAAATTATTTTGTGTTTTTGTGGTGGGGTTGAACCCAGGAGTCTTATGCATGCTAAGCGTGACTCTACCACTGAGCTACACCACAGCCCAGCAAGATCTTTCTTTACATGAACAAATGTGTTTTGCCTTTGGATTGTCCCATGATGGTTAAATATTATCAGGGTGACATTAGTTGTAGATAACATTGTCTGTACACCCAGATTAACTGTACTATTGAATTATTGACAAGATCATTTCAGAGGCGTTCATCAGTGCAGATCACCATATGTCTAGTTACAGCATCTCTGTTAGTATTTAAAGGGGCACCGTCTTATAGCCATTTCTCTGCCTGTAGAGAAACCTAGGGTTATGTTATAGGAGAAAAATCTAATTCATGATTCTATTCTTCATGAAACTAGAACATGTGACTAAAGAAATGCCTTCTAGATAGTTGAATAATTTTTTCAGTTGATATATGAATCTCCTTGCTCAGCTTCTCATCTATAAAATAGGAAAAATAATAGTATGTACTTCATAAAGGAGCTGTAAGTTACTACATGTGAGTGCTTAGGATTTTGCCTGGCACACTGCAGTTGTGGTTTGGAAATATTATTATACAATTATTATTTGAAAGGAGCTGAAAAAACAATATTTTTTAGTTGTCAGTGGATCTTTATTTGTTTATATGTGGTGCTGAGAATCGAACCCAGTGCCTCACACATGCTAGACAAGCGCTCTACCACTGAGCCCCAGCCCCAGCCCCTAAAGCAAGTTTTAAAGAAACTTCACTTCCTGTTTATTTTTATTTTGTTCTAATCTGTCACCTGCCTCATGGTGCCTCCTCTGCTGTCTCCAGCCAAAGTTACCATTTTTCTAATCATCTAAAACCCAAAAAGTGTAAAATACAGAAATGAACCTCACCAGTGTTTTCATAAGAAAATGTAAGTGTTCAACCAAAAAAGAAGTTACTAAATAATGTTGCCTTTAAGGTAGGAAGACCCTGCCTTCAGAGGGTCTCTGCCTTGGAAAAGTACAGGCCCACCTCTTGAGTCAGAACATACCAACTCAAGCAGCCTGCCGTTCTGGGTGGAGCTACCCCGCGCCTTGCCCCATCTCAGAGTCTCTTCATTAAAGAAACCTCTTTGGTCAAAATATGTTGCCTCTTCTTTTTGTGATAGTAAAGGTACTTAATGGTTTCAGGAAGGGGCATTTTTTTTTTAAATTTGTGGTTTAGAGTCATTAAGTATTATCTCCCTCTAAGATACTTCAGACATTTTAAAATGTAGTCTGTTTTATAAAATATAAGTCCTTTTATGTTCAGATTTCTTTTTTACTGGATTTTTTTCTTAGTTTAGAATGCATATGATTAGGAGACTTACTTTCTTTTCTAAAGTTTTAACCTAAAAGAGTACCAAACTTATAAATCACTGTGCAAATTCTGGTATGTATTTTTTAATTTATTGCCTCAAATTGTAACTGTTGTTTATCTCCCCAAAGCTTTGATAGTTTTTATTCTTGTTAAATCTTAGTACTTAGCAGTACTAAGACTGTGGAAGTCAGTCTTCATTGTGCCCAGTGCTCAGAATTAAGCTATGTCTTTTGGAATCCAGAAAAGGCTCTAGTTTGCAGTCAAGCAAAGTAGTTGAGACTAGTACACAGGAAACACTAGACTTAGAGCTTAGATATTTTCTATATTTTGTAGTCTGGTTAAGAGAATTAAGAATAATACTTTTGGAGCTGGGCACGGTGGTGCACACCTGTAATCCCAGCGATTTGGAAGGCTGAGGCAAGAGGATCATGGGTTCAGAGCCAGCCTCAGCAAAAGCGAAGCACTAAGCAACTCATTGAGATCCTGTCTCTAAATAAAATACAAAATAGGGCAGGGTATGTGACTCAGTGGTTGAGTGCCCTCTGAGTTCAATCCCCAGTGCTATAATAATCATAATCATAATTTGGAAAGAGGGATAGATATTTTTGCTAAAGTTGTTTTAGGATTTCTTTAATTAATGTAAAGTTTGAAGGACATAATAACCTGTGAAGGTTATTTTTGTGTGTGTGTGTGTATGTGTGTGATTGTATGTGTGTGTGTGTGTGTGTGTCTACATTTTAGGTTAGTTTTAGGTTTGTAGAAAAATTCAGAGAGAGAAATTTTCTATGCATACCTGCTACCACACACCCCATGTCTCCCCATCATCAGCATCTCTCACCACATGATAGAAATCATTATGACCAACCAGACATGGTCGTGCACACCTGTGATCCCCGCCTCTCAGGAAGCTGAGGCAGGAGGATCACAAATTCAAGGCCAGCCTCAGCAGCTTAGCAAGACTTTCTCAAAATACAGGTCAAAAAGGGCCTGGGGCTGGGGGTGTGGGGAGAGGCAGCTTTGGTTGTGGCTCAGGGGCAGAGCACTTGCCTAGCATGTGTGAGGCAGTGGGTTTGATCCTCAGCACCATATAAAAATAAATAAAATAAAGGTATAAAAATTACCATAACAAAAACAGGGGGCTCTGGGAGTATAGATCAGAGCCCCCTTTTTTAGTAACAATTTTTGAGGGGATATCAAGGATTGAACCCAGGTAGAGCACCATGGGTTTAATCCTTGATACCCCATCAAAAAATTGTTACTATTGAACCTACATTGACACATCATAATCACCAAAATGCACAGCTCAAATTAGGGTTCACTCTTGGCGGGGTACCTTGTGTGGGTTTGGATACATGTATAGTGGCATGTATCCACCCTTGCCATCGCAAAAGAGTAGTTTCGCTGCCCTGAAATTTCTCTGTGCTGTACTTATCCCTCTCTTTCATCCTTCCATTCCTCTAAACCTTGGCAACAAGTGACCTTTTGATATCTCCATAGTTTTGTATTTTTAAAAATGTCATACAGTTGGAATCATGTAGCACACAGCCTTTTCAGATTGGCTTCTTTCACTTGGTATGATGCATTTAAGGCTCCTCCTCATCTTTTCATGGCTTGATAGGTCATTTCTTTTTAGTGTTGAATAATATTCCTTTCTTTAGATGTATCACAGTTTATTTATCCTTTTACTTACTGAAGGACATCTTGGTTACTTTCAAGTATAAACATTCTTGTATAGGTTTTGGTGTGGACATGAGTTTTCAGTTCTTTCTGGGTAAATGCCGAAGAGCTTAACTACTGGATCAAATAGTTTTAGGAGTATATTAGTTTTAGGGCTGGGGTTGTGGCTCAGTGGTAGAGTGCTTGCCTAGCATGTGCAGGGTACTGAGTTTGATCTTCGGCACCACATAAAAATAAAATAAAGGTATTGTGTCTAAATACAATTAAAACAAAATGTTTTTTCTATAAAAGAGTATATTAGTTTTGTAAGGCAGTGACTAACTGTCTTCTAAAGTGGTTGTGCCATGTGCATTCCTGCCAGCCACAGGGAAGGGTCCCCGTTCTGCATCCTCTCCAGAATGTGGTGTTGTCAGCTTCTGGATTTTGGCCATTGTTTTGGGTGTGCAGCGACATCTTATTGTCTTGATTTATATTTCTCTAATGACTTATGATGGGGAGCATATTTTCATATACTTAATTGCCATCTGCACGTCTTGTTTGGTCAGGTATTTGTTGAGGTCTTTGGCCCATTTTTTGGTGGGTTTGTGTGTGTTCTTATGGAGTTTGCAGAGTTCTATGTTATACTTTGGATAACAGTCCTTTATTAAATGCATCTTTTGCAAATATTTTCTCTAGGTCTATGTCTCATCTTGTGATTCTCTTGGCGATGTATTTAGCAGAGTAAGAACTCTTAATTTTAATGAAGTGTGGCTTGTCAATTATTTTTTAGTCAATAATACCTTTGTTGTTGTATCTAAAAAAATCATTGCTATACCCAAGGTAAGTTTTCCTCCCATTTTATCTTTTAGGAGTTTTATTGCTTTACTTATTATATTGTGATCCACTTAGGAGTTAACTTTGGTGAAGGGTCTCCAGATTAAGTCTTGTCCAGATTCTTTTCTTTTTCATGTGCATGTCTGGTTGTTTGAGCAACATTTGTTGAAGACTGTCAACTGTCTTTGCTCCATTTTCTTGTCTTTGCTCCTTTGTTAAATATTAGTTGATTATATTCATGTGGATCTGTTGTGGGATCTTTGTTCTGTTTCATTGATCTATTTTTCTATTGGCAAACGGTCTTGATGACCATAGCTTTGTGGCAAGTCTTGAAGGAAGGAATGCCAGTCTCTCTGACTTCGTTCTCCTTCACTGTTGTGTTAGCTATTCTGGGTCTTTTGCTTCTCCATAAAAACTTTAGAATCATTTCGTCAGTTTCCACAAAATAACTTGCTGGTATTTTTGTTGAGACAGTATAGAATCTATAGATCAAGTAGGAAAGAAATGATACTCAACAATATTGAGCCTTCCTGTCTATGGACTCTCTCTCAATTTATTTTGTTCTTTTTTGATTTTGTTCATCATATAGATCTTGTACATATTTTATCAGATTTCTAAGTAATTCATTTTGGGAGGGTGCTAATGAAAGAGTAGTATGTCTTTACTAACAAATTCTACAGGAAGGCAGCTGATTGTGTATATCGACCTTTGATCCTATAACCTTTTCTGTGATCACTCATGGGCTCCAGGATTTTTTTTTTTTCCCCAGGCTTGGTCATTTCTTTCAGGTTTTCTACACAGGAAGATCATGTTATCTGTGAAGAAAGTTCATTTTACTCCTTCCTTCCCAATCTGTATGCCTTTTGTTTTTGAACTTGTGATGTGATGTTGAACAGGAGTGGTGATGGGGAGCATCATTGCCTTATTCCTGATCTGAATGAGGAAATGTCTTATTTCTCACCCTTTAGCATGATGTTAGCTGTAGGGTTTTGATAGTTAAAGAAATCCCCCTTTTCCTAATTTTCTGAGAGGATTTTTAAAATTATTACCATGAATGGAAGTTAGAATTTGTCAGATTTTTTTTTCTTTTTCTCTCTCTCTTTTTTGTTTTTTTACTGTATATGTTGATACAGTCGTGTGACTTTTCTTTTTCAGCCTATTGATGTGATTATTCTTGTGTTGAACTAGCCTTGCATCCCTGGGTTAAATCCCACTTAGTTGTGTGGTATAATTCTTTTTATATGTTCTTGGATTATACTTACTAAATTTTGTAGAGGGGTTTTCATCTATATTAATTAGGGATAGTCTATACTTTTCTATATACCTTCATATGCTTTTGGTATTTAGGGTAATGCTGACCTCATAGAAAGAGCTAGAAAATATTTCTTCTTCTGTCTTCCTGCTTCTATCTTCTTGAAGTGTCTATAGAGAATTGGTATAATTTCTTCCTTCAATGTTTGGTAGAATTCGCCAGCAAACCCATCTATGCCTGGTACTTTCTGGGCCTGGAACATTCTGGCTTTGCAAATTGATTAATTATTGATTCAGTTTCTTTAATATATAGACCTATTTAGAGTGTCTTCTTGTGTGAGTTTTGGCAGATTGTGTCTTTCTAGGAGTTGTCCATTTCATTTAGGTTATCAAATTTGTGAGCATACAGTTGTTCATAGTATCTTTTCTTATCTCCTTAGTGTCCCTGGGATTAGTAGTGATATCCTCTTCTTGAGTTTGGATATTGTTAATTTGTCATTTCCTCCCCTTTGCTAGCCTGACTAGACGCTTAATGATGTCATTGATCTTTTCAAAGAGCCAGCTTTGGTTTCCATTGATCTTTCTCTCTTACTTTCCTGTTTTCTGTGTCATTGCTTTCTGCTCTTTTTATTACTTCTGCTTTTTGTATGTGTATTTAATTTGCTCTTCTTTTTTCTAGTCTCTTAATTTAGATTGTTGATATAAAAGATTTCCCCTGAGCACTGTTTTTGGTACATCACACAAATTTTGATAAATCATGATACCATTATCATTTAGTTCAAGCTCCTGAGAGCTGGAGATATAACTCAGTGGTGCTTGCAAAGTATGTGTGGAGCTCTGGAAAAAATAATTTTTGTAAGCTTCTCTTGAGAATTCCTCTTTGAACCCTGTGTGATTATCAGTCTAGTGGATTAATGAGCACCATATTTGTTACTACTTTCTATTTACTGCCCTGTTTTTTTGTTCTCATTTTGTATTCTGTTTTTTGGTAGGCTTTTGTGCCAACAGCCTTTGGATTGTGAGCTTCACAAATGTTTCTTTTTTCTCCCAATTAGGTAGGACAGGACGGCTAGAATGAGCTTGAATTGGGTATTTCTCTTTTCCCACGTATAAGGTTACAGGTTTTTTCTTCTCCAGTGTGGAAGGCTATTGCTGACTGCAGTTGGATATCTTTTCCTGAAGGTCAGTTAACTTTCCTGAAGGTCTGATGACATCCCAGAAGGTTAAGGTGTATTAACTATCTTCTCTGGAGGACAGGCTTTGTTAAGAAGAGTAGAGTGTTCTGGAGTATTCTGGAGTGTTTCTTTCCTCCTCCTCCTGCTAGAAGCATGAGAGGACTTTTTTCCCCCAATATTTACTCCTGATGAAAAACTCACAAGCCTGCAGGTCCCCGAAGACTGGGTCCTGCTGGAGTTTCTGAGTCTCGGACTTGCCCACATGGAGCCTCCAGCCGTTGGCCATGGTCCAGGTTTTCCTGTCCCGGCACTGGGCCTTTTAGCACTTCCTGCTTCTGAGTCTGTTCTGGAAAGTGATGAGCCGCTGAATTCCCATCTCCCCAGCCCTGGGGCGGCATTCTCTGTGTTCTTCCTTCTCTCACAGAGACAAGTTATTGACCTTGTTCTGCTTTAATCCTGTATATTAGCCTACAGAGTTGAGCAGCAGAAATGGCAACTCATTAAACAGTTTCTCACGTGAAAAATTACTTGTCATGACAGAGTGGTAGTTTCAGGCTCTTTATGTGTGTAACCAGAAACCAAAAGTCCACAAGGATTTTTTTTTTTTTTTATCAGAAAATGGAAAGAACTTATATACTTTTTCTCTTTGAGACTTTTTTTTCCTGTCTTGAGTAGTATTGTATTGACTATGTGTCTTCTAAAGGAAAATACTAAGGAATTTAATGTCTTGAAGTACTCTGGTTAAAAACATGTATGAGGTAACTTGTGCCCATCAGATTTCAGTGTGAATAGTTATTTTTACTTGGATGTAATTTATTTGTTTTGAGTTTAGTATATGATGAAGCTCATTTAGTTTTATTTTTCAAGCATTTGAGAATATACTCATTTGTTAGGTACTCTCTTTTTAAATATGTTTTCCTAGAACACACTGGAATAGCTAAAAGAATAGGTGTTTTACTTGTTCTCATGATAATGAAGAAGCAGTTATGATAATCCTGTGTATTAGCCTGCAGAATTCAGCAGCAGGAATGGTAACTCATTAAACAGTTGCTCAGGTCAAAAATTACAAATCTGTAATTTCTTTGTCCTATAGTTTACAAAATAAGACTATAGCCAAAAAAAAAAAAAAAGCATTTGCTAGATGCAGAAAATGTAGGTCACAAATGAGTAATAGGTCATTACTGTGTGAAATGCATTGAAAGCTGTGACCAATGTTTCAAAGGCTTTTGTCATCTCAGTAGGACATGGTGTGTGAAACAGTCCTGCAGAGAATGTCTCAGCCTTTAAAAAAAAAAAAAAAGAAAAGAAAAGAAAGAAAGAAAACATTCTTATTCACGTACAGTTTGTATACTGCAAACTTCGATTGCCTGATCTTTTCAGTTTGTACATATACACACACAGATACATTACAGACTGAACTACAGGTCAAACATGCTCTGTTTTTAAACTTTGAATGCTTTAGGGCAAAGTTCAGTTAATTTCTGTAGAAACAAAAGCCAAATCTATGCAAAAGATTTATTTCTAATAACTCAGTAGGGTATTCAGTACTGTGCCAGATTCCAGGGGTACTCTTGCCTTCATGTTTTAATCTATGAATAAAGATTGACAATCCTTTTATTCAAAACATTGTATACCAGAAAGAGACAGGGAAAAATGTTGGCATTTTCCAAGAATACCACTGTTGAGAAATATACAGGAAATAGAAAAACAGAAATAGGTTGGCTGCATTAATATTGATTATCATTCTCATTTTTCTTCAAGAAATTTAATGGATTAAACTGTTTCTGAGTTAAAACTGGAAAGATTTTTTTACCTCATAAATTTTTATATTATTACATCTTAATAATTACGATTTACTTGAGGGGCTAGGGTTGTGGCTCAGTGGCAGAGTGCTTGCCTAGCATGTGGGAGGCTGGGTTCTATTCTCAGCACTGCGTGTAAATTAAAATAAATAAATAAATAAAGGTCCATTGACAACTATAAAATAATATTTTAAAAAAAGATTTACTTGAAAAAGGCTCATACGTTAAATAAATTAATGTCATTGTAGTTAGAAAATTTAAAAATAAGATGTTCCATTTTGAGACATTTCTTAAGTAAACAAAGCATACAGAGCCTTACTCAATTCTTCAAGTAATAATTAAGCACTTTTTATGTGTCCACCACAGCAAAGGAAACAAGTAACTAATAGGAATCAAATGTTTATTACTCTTTTTTTTTTTTTTTTTTTTTAAACATAGATGGAACTAGACACAGCATTAAGTGACCTGGAGGCCGCAGATTTTGCAGAACTGGTAAGAGGAGGAGGGGAAAGGGTCGATATTAATTCTTATTATGTAAATCAGTCAGTATTCTAAGTATTTACCAAGTGGACTTTTGTAATAATCTTGAAAAACACAACATTATGCCTTTTTTGACACTGGCAAAACCTGTTTTGTTTGCCTTAAGGTTTTTCTACTCAATGGAAAATATTTGTTACATAGTATGTAATATGACATTAAAAATGACTAATAACAATGGGTGTTCTTAAGAATGAGGCTTCTTGGGTTGGGGTTGGGGCTCAGTGGTAGAATGCTTGCCAGGCATGTGTGAGGAACTGGGTTCAATTCTTAGCTCCACATATAAATAAATAAAAATAAAATTCTATTGACAACTAAAAGAAATATAAAAAAATGAAAAACAAAGAATGAGTCTTCTTGAGGAAAGGAAATGTAGATGTCATATTGATCAACTTAAGTGAGAGTCTTTTATTTCTAAATTCAACTTGGAATTGTCAGAATGTTGTTTGTAATCTTTGAAAAAGTATATTTCCTTGCTCTGTCCAATGGAAAGGACAAGAAACAGTGACCATTTTAGCAATAGTATCACTACCCAGGCCATGGTGTATAAATGATATTTCTCATCAAAAGGAAACAGATTCCTCAGAAAAATGGCTCATTTCAGATTTGGGGCTGAAAATATATATAAGTCTGAGAATATCATAACTTATAAAAAAATCCGGAGTGCTTTAAAAAATTACTGGGGATATATATATGATGGGGCTAGAATTGTCAGAAACCACCTCAGAGGGGCTCTCCCTTGAGCCTGCAGAAGGATAGTAACTGCAATCGATTAGAATAGATCTGATATGTTTAAATCCCAGAGTTCATAATGATACAAGAGGAAAAATAGGAACTTATTGATTAACTTTGGAAAATGCTAGGGAATGAACTCGTTTTTGTGAAAACTAGTAAATGAAGAAGAATCAAGTATTTATTCTGCCTTTCCTCTCTGAACTGTATATCAAAATACCAAATAAAGATGAAGGGGAGTTTCTCATGGAACGAGTCCACCTAACAACATGTTCAGAAAGAATGACAGAATTGGAATATTGCCATTGTGTAGTCCCTCAGTGATCTAATGATCTAGAAATGGTCATCAGTAGCTGTTAATATCACAGAAAGAAAGACAGCCAGAGAGTACCTGGTTGCTGATGGAAGGACACAAACCACCCATGAGGCCTCAGTACCTAACTACCAATTACAGGAAATGTCATTAAAATGGAACATGTTAATGACCCTATTGAGGTAAGGGAGGTTACAGTCAGCAAAATTCAGACCTGGAAACATAGGACTGTGTCTTCAACAAATAAACCAGAAAAGTGTGAGTGAGGCAAGGGGAGAGGGGAAAACTTGAGAGAGAAAGCTCTGTGTCAGTTATGAAAGACTTAAGCATGTCAACCAGGACAGCATATGGCCTTTCTTGGATCATGATTTAAGTGAACTTTTAAAAAACTTTTTTTTTTTAATATTTATTTTTTAGTTTTCGGCGGACACAACATCTTTGTTTGTATGTGGTGCTGAGGATCGAACCCGGGCCGCACGCATGCCAGGCGAGCGCGCCACCGCTTGAGCCACATCCCCAGCCCCTTAAAAAACATTTTTAAAAAATATTTATTTATTTTTTTTTTTAGTTTTAGGCAAACACAACATCTTTATTTTTATGTGGTGTCGAGGATCGAACCCAGTGCCCCACGCATGCCAGGCGAGTGCGCTACCACTTGAGCCACATCCCCAGCCCACTAAAAACATTTTTAAGATAATCAAGGAAACATAAATCTAATGACGAATGTTAGATGAGAATAATTCTTGAGATATGATAATGGTATAATGTTTATATTTTAAATTCCTTCTGTTTTAGAGATACATTCGGAAGTATTGCAGATGAAATGATATATCTGGTATTGGTTTAGAAATAATTTAACAGAAGGAGGAAAAAGAGAGGGACATAGATGAAACAAGATGAGCTAGGTACTGGTCATAGTCAAAGTGGGTTGATGACAGGACAACATTCTCTTTTTGTATCCATTAAAATTTCAGTATAAGTATTCTTTTAAAAAGAACAGGAGCCAGGTACAATGGTGCACACCTGTAATTTCACCTACTTAGGAGGCTGAGGCAGGAGGATCAAGGCTTAGTAATTTAGAGAGACCCTGTCTCAAAACAAAATTTTAAAAGTGCAGGGAGCAGAGAATGTGAAGTTCATGATAGAACTTGCCTAGCATGAGCAAGGCCCTGGGTTCAGTCCCCAGCACTGTAAACACACACACACACACACACACACACACAAATAAATAAATAAATAAAGTAACTAGAAAGTGAGGAAATAGAAGGCCTTAGGGTTGGATCATCCCCAAGAAGATTGCTAGTGAGAGTGGGGAAGGAATGTTAGCTTGAATAGGAGGCTGAATCCCTCATTAAGATCCTGAGCAAGTGGAAGGGAGTTTTGTTTCTAAGAATGGAAATTCAACCAAGGTTGTAATTTTTTTCACTGTTGGAGAATGTTTAGATGGAGAATAATTATTAGGAACAGTTTAGATCTAAAGTGTTAAAATATCCGTTTTTAAAACTTACAACCAATAGGTTTAATTTAGAATCTATCTCTGTAGAACATCATTTTAATGAGAGTGGAGCTAACAGTATTTTCTATGGTTAGAAAAGGATTTATTGGGATACCTGGGGTATAAGATCAAAAACACAATCAATAAAGAAAAAATAACAAAATGAGAATGTAAAACGGTACAACTACTTTGGAAAACTGTGTGGAAGTTTTTCTTTAATCCAAATATATACCTCATAAGATTCAGCCATCCTATTCACATCTGTTTACCCAAGATAAATAAAAGCATATGTTGCTATGGACCAGCACGACATCATTTCAGAAACTGGAGGGGCCAGGAGGGGATGAAGAAAAGCCAAACACTCGCATATAGAGAAAAAGCTGGGCCATAGTGGGAAAGCCGAGCCCTAGTGAAGCTTGACTAACACCAGAGCCAGCTCAGCACGTTTATTATATAGGTTTGTCATCAGAATGTTTTTTGTGAGGAAGTTTTAGCAGAGCAGGCAGCCTGAAGGATACAGCAAAACTTACAAGACATCGAGGTCATCTTGTTATTTCTAGAATTCTCAATCTTCCTGGGAGTTGGTGTCTGAATCCAAGGTTCCAACTGTCAGAGCTTCACCTTTGCACTTAGCCTGCTGTGTGTGGCTACTGTTACTATAACAACTGGGGCATCTGAACCTGCACTTTCGGACAGGCAGCTCCCAGTGTAAATGCAGCCATGAGGGAATCAGAGACCATGGTTCAAGTCACCAGTGTCCACAATATGTATTGCAGAAGCCTACACATAACTCTTCATGGCAGCTTTGTTTGTGATAACCAAAAACTAGAAATAATCCGAATGTCTATCAACAGGTGAATGGACAGATAGATTGTGTTATATCCGGCATTGGATACCACTTAGAAAAACCACTGGGGTGGGGGATGCACTAATGGACTCTTCTTGTCTTCATTGTGGTGGCACTTAAGCAACTGTATGCATTTGTTACAACTCACACAAGGGTTCACAGTGAATTTTACCTTAATATAAAAAATGAAAAGGGAGAATCTATCCTAAACTTTTTGTGAAGTTTGTTTAAAATTGTATCATATTTTTTTAATTTGTGTTCTTCAGTTTAAAAAATTTTTTTCATTAAGGTTCAGTTTATACTTAGTGAATTCTTCTTCCCCTTTATAGTCAAATCCTCTTTCTACCTTCTGTCACTTGCAACCACTAGTCTGTTTTCTCTTCCCATGATTTTACTTTTTCAGGATGTCACATAAGTTGAATCTGTAGTATGTAATTTTTGTCTAACCTCTTTCTCTTAGCATAAGGAGTTTGAGATTCATCTATGTTGTATGTATGAGAAAGTTTAGTCCTTTTTATTGCTGAGTAGTATTCCATTATATGGATATATCACAATTCCCCAGTTGAAGCATATTTCATTTATTTCCAGTTTTTCATTTTCTTTAGGTTAATTAATTATAAAAGTCAAAAACAGAAATTGGGTGAAGATGTTATTAAAAGCAGAAGTCCTCCCATATCCTTCTCCCCCATTTCCATTCCCAACTATAACTGCTCTGATAGTTTAGAATGTGTTCTTCTAGACCTTTTTTTGAAATTCTTTTTAATTTTATATGACAGTAGATTGTATTTTGACATATCATTCACACATGGCGTATAACTTCCCATTTTTGAGGTTGTATATGATGTGGAATTACACTGGTCATGTATTCATATATGAACGTAAGAAAGTTATGTCCGATTCATTCTTCTGTCTTTCCTATTCCCAACCCATTCTCCTTCCTCCCACTTCCCCCATCCAATCTGGTGAACCTCTACTCCCCCACCCCAACCTCAGCTGACCTATTGTGAATTAGCATTCACATATTAGAATATTCAGTCTTGAGTTTTTTGGGATTGGCTTGTTTCACTTAACATGATAGTCTCCAGTTCCATCCATTTATCAACAAATGCCAGAATTTCATTCTTCTTTATGGCTGAGAATATTCCATTGTGTATAAATACCACAGTTTCTTTATCCACTCATCTGTCAAAGGGCACCTAAGTTGGTTCCATAGCTTAGCTATTATGAATTGAGCTGCTATAAACATTGATGTGGCCACGTCACTACAGTATGCTGATTTTAAGTCCTTTGGGTTTATTCCAAGGAATGGGATACAAGACCTTTTTCTATACATATACATTTACATGCATAAACCAATGTGTGTATACATATATACATGTTTATAGTTGAAGAGGGGATGCTATATTTAATGAAAATTGGATCTAGTGAATATTATATTCTGCATTCTTTGCTGAGGAAGATATTCTAAAAATTCTTGTGCTTGTTTATATAAATCAACCTTATTTTTAAACTATCTATATGATAGTCTATGACTTTACATATCTAATTTAAATCTAATCATTCCTCCATTAATGAATTCCACATCATCTCTTACTTTTCCATGTTCCAAATAATTCTGTTATTAACTTTTATGTAAAAGTCTTGATTCTCTTATTTAAATATTTCTGTACTTTCTAGAAATGGAATCACTCAAAGAGTATGTGTATTTAAATTTTATTTTACATGTCAACTCAGTTGCCCACAAATTGGTTGTACCAATTTGTGTTTCCAAAAATAGTATATGGTAATACTGGATATTTTAGATGATGTATAATAAAAGATTTTTGTCCTAACAGATTGGTTTTAAGAAATCTCAAATGGGATAAACAAATTTTATATGCTGGTCCTAATCAGTATTTATTTATTTATTTGGTACCGGCCGTTGAACTCAGGAGCACTCAACTACTAAGCCACATCCCCAGCCCTATTTTGTATTTTATCTAGAGACAGGGTCCCACTGAGTTGCTTAGTGCCTCACTTTTGCTGAGACTGGTTTTGAACTCTTGGTCCTCCTGCCTCAGCCTCCCAAGCTGCTGGGATTTCAGATGCGCCACAGCTCAATAATATTTTATAAGAACCAAAACTAAGGTTGTTCTCAAATAAATATATACTTGTATTTTACCCTAATACTCTCAAATGTTGATTTCTAAAGAGGACATTATGAAAAGTTTAGGAAGGAAAGAATGTAACTTCTGTGTTGACTAATGTTGCTTAAGGAACTATTTCTCTCTCTCTCTCTCTCACACACACACACACACACACGCGCGCGCGCCACAATATAAATACACTGTGATTTTTCTCCCCTCAGTCTGAGGATTACTATGACATGAGACGGCTATATACAATTTTGGGCTCTTCTCTATTTTACAAGGTAAGTTGAAGTTTGCATTTTTAATAATATCCAACGCCTGCATGCACAAATCTAAAGGAATTTTTCTCAAACTTTTACACATGAAAACTAAATCTATCTCTTTCTCTGTGAATGTAGGTACCTTAAGATTAAGATCTTAAAACAAGTATTATACCTACACATTTATAAATATAGTAAATACTTATAGTTTCATTGCATAGTGTAGCATTTAAAAATGTGTAAAGGAGAAACAATACTCAAACCAATTATGTAGGAAAAAAAGGTTAATTCTTTCTTGATGTCCTTTTGCAATAGTGTGTTTTTTATTCTGACTTCAGAAGTAACCATCTATCTTTTAAGGAAATCCTATAATATTTATTAAGTATTTGGTTTCCAGGGAGAACATGTTAAGTATCAGATGAATTTAATAAGTTTCTGTCCACCTTGACCTCTGCTTCTCTATTTCCCATTTTCAGAATGCAGTTCTTTTCTAATTTTGACACTCGGGCTAATACCTCAGAGGCAATTTTGCTTTATGCTAAAAGTCTAGCTTTTGGGTACCTTGTTATTTAATATCTAGCTTGACCTCAGGGGAGAAAAACATTCACTTATGCTATATCTTACTTTACTATGTTTGAATATAATAAAATATTGAATAATAAAATATTATTTTATTTGAATAATAAAATATTTCATGTCATCTGAAGAAGCATTTATAAAACTCTAGGAAGTATAGGATTATTGCTTGGTATCACTAGCTGACTTTTGCTCTTGGTGGTTAAATTCAAGGGTTATTTGATATGCAGTCATTTGCCTAAGGATGATCTTGTTGAGATTGCCGCGTACTGTCGCCACTATGGCCTGCTGTCTTTAGCAGCAAAACAAAGGATTGGTCAGTTGATAGTATGGAGAGAAGTGTTTCCTCAACATCACCTCCAGCTTTCTGCAGACTCAAGCACAGAAGCCTTTCAGGAACCGGAAGGGAGATATTTTTTGCTAATTGTTGGATTGGTAAGTTCACCTGGACTTCTTTCTTGAGATTGTTTTCCCCATCTGTTTATGTCTAAATAAATACACAAACATGCCCATTTAAAACTATGTATGTATTAAACACAGAATTCAAAAAGTTGTTATATAGCCTTTACTTCTTTTAGTTTATATTCCTTTAATATTCATGAAGAAATACTAATAATATCCAGGAAAATATTTTAGCAGGTTCTGAACACTTTTGTTCCCCATCTTATGGGGGTTTTATCCTCTGGTCTGTTTTGGAATATAGAAGAAGACATAAAAACAATGTAGAATTAGAAATGGAATAAATACATAATCGTAAATGAGAGACTTTCTTGTCAATGGGGCTCTTTCAAAGCCGCTCTAATGAATTCTTTGTACCAAGAGAAATGATTGATAGTATATCAAAATATGATAATGTGAAGCCAGGTGCAGTGGTGCGTGCCTGTAATCCCAGCGGCTTGGGCGGCTAATGCAGGAGGATTGCAAGTTCAAATCCAGCCGCAGCATTAGTGAGGACCTAAGCAAGTTAGCAAGAACCTGTCTCAAACAATAAAAGAGTTGGGAATGTGGCTCAGTGTTAAGTGCCTCTGGGTTCAATGCCTGGTACAGAAAAAAAAAAAAAAAAACAATGTGAGATAGTTTTTAACTGTAATCAAGAAGCATTGATAATCTCGCTGCTTTATAAAAATATGGCTTCTCATTAAAAAAGAAGCAGCGCCGACAATAACTTAAGAAGGAGGAATTTTTAATAATCATGCCATATGCCAACATCTTTTATAGTATTCATAAATGTATACATATTATATGTAACTGTTTTCATGGTGGCTAAACCTATGTCAATAATCTTCTTTTATAGAGACATTATATGTTATGTGTGCTATTAGAAGCTGGAGGCTGTGCATCTAAAGCTATTGGGAATCCTGGGCCTGACTGTATATATGTGGACCAGGTCAGAACAACTCTTCACCAGCTGGAAGGAGTAGACTCCCACATAGATGAACACCTAGTGTCTTCTCCAGGCCCCTGTTTGTCTTGTGCTGACTGGTTCCTTTCTGGAACACGTGAGAAAACTGAGAATTTGACAGCTTCCCCTATTCTCAGCAGGCTGCAAGGTCCTTCCAGGACAGCAGCCTCTCCAACATGCAGAAGAACCCTTTTTGGTGACTATTCCTTAAAGACACGTAAGCCCAGTCCCTCCCGAAGCAGTGGAGGATCTGACAATGGTTGTGAAGGTGGAGAAGGTGCTGGCCTTAGCCTCCACACCACACCGGATGCAATACAAAAGCAGAGAGACTTTCAGGGCTCTGATTGCTCAGAAGAAAGTGGAACCTTGCTTAAGGTGTGTGTTCATCCCAGTGTGTACATTCTAGGAACTAAGCTGTCTCTCTAGTTCTAATTGCAAGAAAAATTTTTAATGGTAATTAGTCTTCATTTGAAATAGTGATTATTTTAGTCATTGTTGGGTAACCAAAGATTTAAAAAGCAAAAAGAGGAAGGAACATCAAGTAATGACAGGAGCTGCCCAACGTGCAGGGTGTCTACCCAGCAGTACCTACAGGTAGAGGAGCTCTTGAATCTTAATTTCCATATTCATCTCTTTCTATTCGTGATGATAAAAGAGCACATCATGGCTATGGAGCGTTTGAGGGGCTGATTTAACAATATAGCCGTGAAATATTCAGCAGAAACAAAAAGAGAATTCAAATGTGTGTGTGTATGTTTGCCTGTTTTTTATAGATAGGTATTTTTTATCTGTATTTATAAAGATCTGGTCTCTATACATAGAGATATACAATGTGACTGTAAAGCCAAGAGAATGTTCAATTTTCAGATTGTTTATTTTTCTGGATTTTTTTCCCATGAAACTACCATGAAATATCCAAATCATTATCAAAACATTCATCCTGGAAAGCTCTCTACTTAGCTAGTGATGCTGTTTTCTTTTGAAACGTGTTTGAACTTGCCATCTGGGTGGGTGGAGGTGATGCCGGTCAAGGCATGAAGAAGATGGAGAACTGGCGCCAGTGGAATACGGGATTTTGAGTGGCCTGACGTAGATGACCATAGACTCAGGCTTCTCACTGCTAACTACAGGGTACTGTCGGAGAAGTTAGTGGAATGTATTTAGGAAGTACTGATTTTGTGTCCATTATCTCAGTTGATGAAATTGATAGGAAATATAGTCCAAGAGAATATGGATAGATTTTAAAATAACAAGATCATAAATGGCACTTTAGAGAAATTCAGTTAACTTTAAGATTCAGCCATTCAACAAATGTTGATACCTGCAAAGTACCAAGGGCTGTGCTATACAAAAGAGATATGAAAATGAGTAAGACACAGCCCTGACTTTGAGAAGTGTAGAGCCTAGGGAGAGAGATGGGTATGCATGCACACAAGCTTGGTGAGGGCTCTGGTGAAGGAACACCAGCATGCCTAGTTATGGCACAGCCCTTGGATCCTATTTTGCAAAGGCTAAGCCAAGAGGTGGAAGTTAGCATCAAAAATATTTAAAAGACGCATTGCAAAATATAAAGTAGCTCTCTTAGAAGGATTTTTAATTTTTAAATCACTTCTGCTGTTTGATTTTGTTCTTAGATATAAACTGATCTACGTAAATATTTTCCAGATCACTAAAAAAAAGTCTACCCTTCCAAATCCATTTCATTTGGGAAATTTGAAAAAGGATCCTTCAGAAAAAGAATTGGAAATATATAACACAATGAAGTAAGAAACTTCCTTCTAATATACTTTTTATCTTATGCTTTCTGTCTTTGAGAAAGTTTTACAATAAGAAAATACAATTTCGGGCTGGAGATTTTAGCTCAGTTGGTAGAGTGCTTGCCTCATATGCACAAGCCCTGGGTTCAAATCCCAGCACTATAATGTTTCATTACACTTAGGAAAATGAACATATTCATATTATAAGAGGGAAAACACACAAATATTTCAAAACAGAAAAATTCCCCTTCATCTCTCTTTCACAGGTAACTTCACTTTTGTATGCCTAATATTATTTTTAAATTAAGTTTTATTTATTTATTCATATTGTATTTGATTTGTACTGGTTATTGAACCCAGGGGCACTTAACCACTGAGCTCACTCAGTTGCTTAGGGCCTAAGTTTCTGAGGCTGGTCTTGAACTTGTGATCCTCCTGCCTCAGCCTCCGGAGTCACTGAAAATCCAAGTATGCACCACTGATCTTGGCCTTTGAGTTCACTAATTTTAGACTCTGGTGGATGCCAAGTTATCCCTTAGCTCAGGGCACTCACCGCCAACACCTTGGAGTGGTGGCTGCTAGTGTCTCAGGGCCAAGTTCCTACCCTAGAGAATAGCCCCTTCTAAGTCTGCCAGATAAGGGAGTGCAGAGGTTTGGTCCTTGCACAAATTCAAGACAGCTCTGAGAGTCCGTCCAAGCTTCACATTTCAGCTTCTCCCTCTGCTCATTCCTGCTTCTGCTCCCTCTACCCCCAAGAGTACACACCACCACCTCTCAGAGGCTGGAACCTGGGAACTGTTAATAGTTATAACATCCTTTGTAGAAAACCTCGAACTTATTTTGAGGAGGAAATTCTGAGATTAAAAAGGACTGAGTGAAGAGGGAATGTTTAGCAGCTTAAACTGTGTCAGTAATTGCAAAATAAAATGTTACATTTTCACTTCTTGTAGGGCAGGTACTATGTGATAGACAGGCAGGTCAGCCTGAGCCTTGCTTGGTATATAATTATGATGTCATGTGTGAGATCAATTGCACACTTTTGCTTAAGCATCTAGACATTCAGAAATAGAATTCACACACACACATACATACACACACACATACACAAACACACACACACACACACACACGAGTGCATAGCGACTACGCTCTTAATTATGGAAATATTTTTAACAAGTTAGCAAGTTCAAATCTTGGAGTTTCCAGGAAATGCTTTTCCCTGAAAGTTAGGGCAAAAATAGGGTAATTTGTCTTCATAAAATAATTCGTTAGAAATCTATTGTGTTAAAATTGGGTATTTAAGGCCTTCACATATGAATGATTTTTTTGAAATATTTATTTTTTAGTTGTAGGTGGTGGATACAATATCTTTATTTCATTTTTACGTGGTGCTGAGGATTGAACCCGGTGCCCGTGTGTGCTAGATGAGCGCTCTACCACTGAGCCACAACCCCAGCCTCTGAATGTTTATTTTTAATAGTTATAAAAATGTCCTTTAAACAATTAAATCTGAAACAAACTTTTTATGGAACCCTAAAGTACCTTCATAAAACCCTAGTGTTCATCTAACAAGAACTACTGAAATTTTATTACTTCCTTATAATTTTTTAAAAATATTTGTGTTATTTTGGCATTATCTTTAGTAAATAGAAACTCTTCTTTCAAGTTCAGTAGCTTAAACAAATTCACATGTAATGTAAATCATAGGTTCTACTATTTTAAAAGACATCAAAGATATAAAATTAAAATATATATTAAAAATACTATCTATACCAGACGTTTCATTCAGCAAACAAATGCTGTCCATTCTGCATTTCAGTAATACTTGAATCCATTCAGCCCATTGATGCTTCCTGGTTTATGGTCCCTTTTTCTCTCCCTGGAGTCACTGGATTAGTCTCCCAGCCCCCAGCCCCCCTCCCCCGTCTATTCTCTCTCTGTAAATTTCTCAATCTATTCTCTAGTGCAGGAATGACCTTTCCAAAGATCAAATCTGAATTTATCTACTTTTTAATACAAATCTTTGTCTTCCTATTGGGTAATTGGTGATTTCTAAACTTTCAGTTAATATATGAACAAGTTTATGGCTTTCAAGAGCTAAACTTGCTTTTTGTGGATTATTTCTTTATGATTAGAGCTTTATGTAAGTTATACATAATAGTTGGGTTAATCCCAACAAACTCATGTGCATGTAAATGGATTTCAGTTCATGACCCTACCTTTTCCTTTCCCTCCTCCCCTTTCCCGTTCTCCTTCCTCTACTCTACTAGACTTCCTTTCACCCATCTGTTAATTTGAATTTGATTGGTTCTTTTTGTTATCCTGTGAATTTGTATTTGATTGGTTCTTTATGTTATCCTTCCCTCCCACTTTATTTTACTCTAGCTTCGTGTATGAGAGAAAACATTCAACCTTTGAGTTTCTGATTTTGGCTAGTTTCACTTAGTATGATGTTCTTATTTCCATCCATTTACTGGCAAATGCCATGATTTCATTCTTGTTAGTGGCTAAGTAGAACTCCATTGTGTGTGTGTGTGTGTGTGTGTGTATCATAATTTCTTAATCTATTGATGGCATCTGGGTTGATTCCATAATTTAGCTATCATGAATTGTGCTGCTGTAAACATTGATGCTGTAAAAAAATCACTGTAGTGATTTTTAGATCTTTTGGGGAAATACCAAGGAGTGGGATAGCTGGGTCATATGGTGATTTCATCCTTATATTTTTGAGGAATCTCCAAACTGCTTTCCAAAGTGGTGGTTGTGATTTATTTTTGAGAGAAAATTTATAGATCACAAAAATGTTGATTCTAACCTCCCAATCTTATTAATAGTTCTTTCTTAAGAATAATTTGTCTTCTGTGCCTTTTCTTCAATTCAAACACCTCTAGATTAAAATATGTTTTAAATTATTTTCCTTTTTTAGTCACTATACTTATTTTCATCATGACTATTTAAGATTTTATTCCTTGGAAGGTGAAGGTATCACCACTCTGTACATGGAATGCTCCATAAGAAGAATCAGCTTGGTAGTCTGCAGGCTCACAACTGCTTCCATCTCCTTTAAGAATTCTGTCCTACCTCACATATGGGCAGGTCATGGACGTGGTATAAGAATTGCCCTTACAGGGTAGTTATTAATGAGCCAGCCACCCTGCTGAGAAATGGGAGAACAACACACACAGGATTCCCTCCCTCCCAGTAGGTCTGTTTCCTAATCCCTGGTTTAGGAGACAAGAGGTTTATTTAGGTCATACTACCTAATTAATTAAAAATATAACAGGAACTTAACTAGCTGTGGCCTAGGTTCTAAAATATGCCTTTTCCCTGCCTCCGTACTTAACAGCTGGAGAACAATCAACCAAAGGTATTTTTTATTATAGATAGCCTTTATCACAAAAGTCTTGGAATGGTCAGCTTGAGTGTTTGAGATGTAGGAGGGAGTTGCCCACCATATAAAGACTGCCATTCAAGAGTCAGCAGTGGAGAATAAAAAATAAGGTATAGGAGAGCAAAGCTTCAAAGTCGGCTAAGCCCTGACACTTGGCTATGCAACTTCATTTAAGTTAATCCAAGCTCACTGACCATGGTTTCCTCATGATTAAAGTAAGGATGGTAATATTTAAGATCCTGCAGGGTCATTATGAAAATTAAAATAAAAGTGCTTCAAAAAGTTTGGCAGGTACATAGAGGATAGTCAGTATTTGATAGCTATTATTATTTTGTTGTTGCTATTATTGTTTTTCTTTAGTTTTTCTTACTATTGGCAGAAATAAGCAATATTTATAGATTCTGCTGACCTATCTAAGATTAAATAGGGAAGGAAAAATTGGGGAAAAAAATGAAAATGAAAATATTAAGATCACATAGAGCAAGAGTGTACTGAGTGTACTGAGAAGTGGCATAATAGTACCAGCTATTACCACAGTATTATAGATTAATCTAGCTTGCAGTTTGGTAATAATTTTATATCAGTTCAGAATCATTACTTTTATTATCATGGCAGAAGACTAATTTAAAGACCCATTTAGTTTTATGAAAGGTATTTTTATGTGTGGTTCACCTTGTTCATGGCTTGTAGCTATCTAGGCCAGACATCATCTGAGTTATTCATTACCAACCATGGAAAAAGAGGGCTTGGCCAATTGGAGTGTTTAGCAAAGGGATGATTAAGTTACTTGGAAATGTATTGGTGTTTGTTTATCCTTGCATAATAGGTAGTGTTTGCCTCTATCAAGGAAATTAATAATAATCCAAGCCTGTTTAATTAAGGATGAAGAGGGGATTAAAATTAGATTTCCTTCCCGAATTGCACTACTAATTGTAAAAAGTCTACAGAATTCAAAATGAAATAATACTTTTAAATTTACTTGAATTTCTTTTTTCTTTTCTCTTTTCTCCCTATCTTCCCTTCCCCCACCCTTTTCTTTTCGAGATTGACATCTGGTCCTGAGAACACACTTTTCCACTATGTTGCCTTAGAAACAGTTCAAGGAATCTTCATTACTCCTACCCATGAAGAGGTGGCACAGCTCAGTGGCTCTGTCCACTCACAGCTAATAAAGAATTTCCATCAGTGTTGTCTTTCCATTCGTGCAGTTTTCCAACAGACTTTGATGGAAGAGGTAAAATAGGTTTATAAATACAGTTTTTTGCCAATATCATTCCCAATCTCCACACACTCTGTAATCAGTATGTCCAGCAATGCATTCAAGGTTTTTTTGTTTTTTTTTTTTTAACAATCAGCCAACCAATTTCAGGATTATACTCACTCTAGTTAATCTCAAAATGTTGTTTCATAGTAGAGTTAAATGTCCTATATTAGTATTTTAGGTAAACAGTGGACCCATGTTTTCTATAGCGAAGTAGAATATAGTAGTTTGTAATATAAATTAACCTCCCATATTTGATATCTGTGACTCAGCCATTAAGTCAGTGATATCTACCAATTGATTCCTAAAATAATTCTAATAATTCTGTGACTGTTCAACCAACAATACGGAGCATAATGGATTAAGGTATAGCTATGGACAAAATAGTATTGCAGATGTTTTAGCACTTTGTTCATTGATTACTTGCTTGCTTTTTAACCCAGGATGAAGTTTCATATAATATTGTTCCTGCTAGATAAGCACCAATGCAATGTGTAATTAAAATACCAGTTAGATTGTTTAAAATATCAGTTACATGCTAATTACTTGAAAAGGATAATCATACAAAAGTTTATTTGTGACTGATCAAACATCATACAGCCAAAAGACTTCTCTGAAGATGGCTATAATGTATACAGCAAGATGTAAGTGAGGATGCCAGGTTTGTGCAAAACTTAAATTTAAAACTAGAACATTAGGCTGGGAATAAGGAATCCTGGACTGAGCCTCAGCTGTTTGCATTTCCTCAGCTATACAGGGTGGGCTCAGTCAGCAATGAAATTCTGTATCTTATGGGATTTCTTTGAGTTCTCAGAAATTTTTATTCTGCAAAAATGTTGCTTACCATACCCCATGTACTGTAAGTTATTATGCTCCTCCTTTCCTATTTAGCATAACTGGTTAGATTCTGAACAAAAATATTACATTAACTTATTTGATAATATTTAGTAATATAAATTATTATTCCTGGTATCATTTAAGGATTTTTTTTTTTTTTTTTGGGTGGTGCTGGGAATTGAACCCAGGGCTTTGTGCATGCAAGGCAAGCACTCTACCAACTGAGCTATGTCCCCAGCCCTCCTGGTATCATTTAAAATGTTGAGATACTACTCTGCACCAGACTAGGTGCCTTGATTAAAGTGGGGACAAAACAAACTCTCTTCCCTGAAGCCTATTTTCTGATGGAGAAGATGAAGAAATTAGTAAATAATATATGGGGTATTTTAAGTGTCACAAGGAATAATAAAATGTGTAAAGATAAGAGATGTGTTACTATTTTAAAAAGCCTGGCTAATGAGATCAAGTAGCATTTCAACAGAGGCAGGAAGGCGTGCTGGGGTGGCCGCATGGCATCTGGAGCCAAATGCAAAGCTAGAGTTTGGAGGGGCTGGGGGAGCTCATAGCCTCCTGACCAGGCCAAGAGTGGAAAGGAATGAGATTACCAATGCAGCAGGGCCTGAGACTATGACATGGCCTTCGGGGCTTTTTCTGAAACAGATGGAACATTGTTACATAGTTTCAGCAGAGGAAGGACAGGATACCCAGTTGTTTAAAGAACCCCTGGGACTCTTTTGGAAATCTGGTTGTAGGGTAGCAAGGATGGAGGCAGGGCCAGTTAGGAGACTATTAATATTTGAAAAGTGAGAAAGGATCACAACTTCAGGATTCTTGATGTTTTGGAGGATGAACCAAAATGATTTATTGTTGGATTAGAAGTTATGAGAGAGAGAAGAATCAAGAATCGCCTATTTTATCCTGATCCGTATAAAAAAGTTTATATGTACCAAATGAGTAATTGTTTTGCTGATGCTTTCACAAATGGGAAATTTAAAGATTATGCTTCAAAGGAAGAGAAAATATTGTTTTAAATGTATGTGTTTAGGTTTATTACAAAATCTTATCCACTTAATATACATTCAGTAAGCTCCTACATTATATACAAGCACTGTTTCTTTTTAAATATATAGAAATGAATACATTGTCTCTGCCTTTGGAAAAAAGTTTACCGTCTATCTTCTATATGGGAAAACAGACCTACAAACTGCTAATGCAATATAATATAAATACTAAACAACATGGGACTGTGAACAAAGTGTTCCCTGGGATCATCCGGGGCACTTTACCTGTGAAGTCTCCTTTAGGAAGTAGTATTGAGCTAAGTGTTAAGGAAGAGTGGAAACCGAAGGCAAAGGGAAGAAAGGCACTGCATGCACTTAGGATCAGCCATTTTGAATCTGGAGGTGAAAACATTTTAAAGTAACATTATTAATTCCAGTTAATACCAACAATATCCACAATTTGCAGAAAAACAAGGCACTAAATGGTGGAGATCGTGCTGATTCTACAAATTCGCTGTCCTCTCTTAACCCTGTGAAGGAATATGGTGTGTTATTTGAATGCTCACCTGAAAACTGGACTGATCAGAAAAAAACACCACCAGTTATGGCCTACTGGGTAGTAGGGTAAGTAGGAAAAAGCTATTTGAAAGTAAAATAAAACGTTAGAAAAGTGAAAGACAAGTAGTACAGCAGATCAATGTTTTAAAACATAGGCATAAAATCAATCTAGCTATAATATTTTAACATTTTAAAGTTTTATTTGCTAAGTAACTCCTTTAAATCCCTCTAAAGACTTTCTCTACTTAAAAATTATTTTTGTTGCCTTGCAAATCAAACAAGTAATAATCCACTATTATTCTCCAATTTCTGTCCTTCCTTCCTGACTTCCTTCTTTTCTTTCCTTTCATTTCCTCTTCTACTCCTTTTTTACATGTTCTACCCACTAACACCTGTCAAATCTTGTTCCTGCTATTTTTTCTACCTGGGATGTTCTATCCCTGACCCTTGCATATCTGGCTCCTTGGTATTCAGACCAGGATTAGCAGGTTATCTCCTCAGAGGTTCTCCATTAAAGTAGCTAGCTACCCATTATTCACTGTCTGACCCTTTTATTGTTTCTTGTTTGCTTCTTGTCTAAGGAACTGAGTTTTGATGGACATATTGAAGGTTAAGTTGGAGAAAAGAGTTGTTGAGGAAAGGGCATAGGTAGGATTGAGGCTACTGGATACCTGCCATGTAGTACTAAGCTATATGATAAACAGTTTACAAACTGTATCATTTCCATATTCTGGTCCTTGGGATTTAGAATCACCTGAGTCACTTGTTAGAGTCGGAGTTGCCTGAGGCCCACCATGACCTACTGAATTCATGGAAGGAGGAATCTGTTTTTAGTGTATAAGCTCCCCTGTGATTGTGATGTGTAATCATCAGCCTTGAGAACATCAGCATAAAGTTAGTTCTGCGTTCTGCGTAGTGTATGGTCAGAGCTGTGCTATTAGAAGAACAACAGGAGCAGCCTGTGGAATGGTGTGAACTCAGGAGAGGCTACCAATGAGAAGACCAGTGGTTCCCTATCTATGTCCACAGCATGGGAACAGAAAGAATTAAAGGGGCTGAATTAGGATGATGCAGGTCTACATAAAGGAAAAATCCTAAGGAAATCAAACAGAACTAGCTCTCAATTTAAATTGATTGATTTACATGTGTTAATATTGTTTAAATATATTAATATACGAACTCTGGAAGAAAACCAAAATTTTAATGTTAATTCCAATTCAATACTGTCTGCAAAAAGAACCATCATATAGTTCATGTTTTAAGAATAAACTTTAGGGTCTGGGGATGTGGCTCAAGCGATAACTCGCTCACCTGGCATGCGCGGGGTGCTGGGTAGCACCACATAAAAATAAAATAAAGATGTTGTGTCCACCGAAAAACTGAAAAATAAATATTAAAAAAAAAATTCTCTCTTCTGTCTCTCTCTTTAAAAAAGAAAAAACTTTACAAAGTGGCAATAAAATGTTTAGATACCTTCTGCACTTTATTGATGCCAGTGCTATATATTGTAGTAATAATAATGACTAGGTTTAATATTTTAAAATTGAAGGGTATGATAATATTTATGTATTGATAAAATAGGATTTTTACACTCTTAACAATAAAAATAATTAACCTAAGGCACATGTTATTTATTTAGAAATGAACTCTCTATAGTCTGTGATTTAGATTAGTGGTTTTTGAACTTACTACTAGTTCTTTCAAAAACATACAAAAAATAAAAGGAATTGAATTTGGTTTTTGTCATTTTCATTTCTGAAATGAATGTGTTCTTTTCTTCTGCAGGAGACTCTTTCTTCATCCAAAACCTCAGGAACTTTATGTCTGCTTTCATGACTCAGTCACAGAAATTGCCATTGAAATGGCTTTTAAATTATTCTTTGGATTAACCTTGTAGTTGTGTTTTGATGATTAATAGCAACATGAGTGACATGTGGAACAGTGTTAAAATTGCTGAAATCAATACACAAGAGATAATGTTTATTTTCACTGTTCAACATTGAACATAATATTGTTATTGAGATGAAATGCTGTTGGACTTGATGCATCAAGCCTTTTGTAGTATTGTGAGACATTGGAGAAGATAGTTGATTGAAATATATAGAAGGGAGTGTTAACTTATTGCCATTTTGGTATATAATATTAATTTATTGACTAGTTTGAAATAATGTAAATTGTTTCATATAAAGTTAATATAGAAAATGTTTATTTGGGAAAACACCCAATTTGTTGTTTATTTTTCTCAAAACTAGTATATTTGGTCAAAGAATCTTGAAATTAGGAGGAGGTGACCAGGTTCTGTAATAAATTAGGGCGGTGACCTCATGCAAGTTTTTGCACCTCTGAGGTCAGAGGTTTCATGTATAAATGCAATAACCTATTCTGAGGTTTTATGTAAAATGTGCTACCTCCCCTCGCCCTTGCCTTTGGTTAGTTCCTAAATTTGTAATGTCCAAACACTGATTTCTTTATAGGTCAAGTGCTCTTCACTAGTATAAGTATTTGAGTGGATACCTCACTGCAGAGGAGAAGGGAAAGATGAAAATCAAACTTAGTTTTTACTTATTTTTCTTTACTCTTTTAGATAACAATCTTAGTCTATTTTGACTCAGATATGTTTTTTAAATTATTTACCTATAAACATTCATTTTTATTTTTAAGGATATTCAAATATACATATACATATTTTATATAGTTCATGAAATTCAAGACAGTTATATGTAAATTGTTTTTAAAACCAAATCATGTTAAAAATACTGAAAAGAATAGCTGAAGAAATCCTATGGTGACTTCTTTTGTAAAATGCTCACATTTGACTTACAAATAAGGATCATTATATATTGGGTTTTCCATATGGGGAACACTTGGATGAATAAGAGTTTATTTGACCTTCCATAGAGAAGAAGAAAAAAAAAAACTAATTGGATAAGAATTTTCTTTGGCATGAGAATTTGGTAGGTTAAGGGAAAGAAAGGAAGAACATAACAAATACTGCATTTGTAGTTACCATGTACCAAGTAGGTCCTTCATCCACCTCAGATGCCCCCAAAACTTAACAATACTGGGTTGTTTTTCTTCAAGACTTAAGTGTTGGAAGAGCTGTACCAGCCCATATAAAATCAGTTTCTGCATATCACCTGCTTCAAACATGAGCGCTTCAGCTTGGAACTAATTACAGAACATTGTGGGTGCACCATTTAAGTCACTGATCTTAGAAAAAAATACTGTTATCTGTCATCAGTCTAAAAGATTTTCATCTGAGTATTTAAGATGCAAATCCCTGCATATTTATTTCATTAGGTACTTGGGGGCCTTGATTTTGACATTCAAATCAAGGTAAGAAATCTTAGTTCTTGAAATAATGTAAAAAATAGCTTTAAATGTCTTCCCCTTAGGATCACAATACTGAGCTGCATGGTAGACTTTTAAACTCTGTTGTAGGACTGCTTGTGTGCATATGTGTGTATTAAGGCACTTTATTTAAATATAGTCATTACATGGCTTAAGTTTCTGTATGTGTCCTCCCCAACTATCAGCTGTTTCTAATACTGGTAGTTATTAATAAGTAGAGCCATCAATCACCTCAGGTTTTTGACAGACTGCACCAAGACTTGATATTTTAACACAAGGAACTTTCTTTCATTTAATGAAATTCTGGTCTGCTTTCTTAGTATCAAGCAATCGTGAGGCATCACTCAATAACTGAAATAAAAAGGCAAAGCAGACTGCTGGTCTTTTTTGTTGCTGTTCTTTTTTAGTTATATATGACATAGAGTGTATTTTGACATACGTATACATGGTGTATAACTTCCCATTTTTGTGGTTGTACATGGTGTGGAGTTACACTGATCATGAATTCATATGTGAACATAGGAAAGTTATGTCTGATTCATTCTACTGTCTTTCCCATTCCCGTCCCCGCTCTATTCACCTTATTGCCCCTGCTGAATCCGGTGAACCTCCGCTCCCCACCCCCTGCCTATTGTGAGTTAGCATCAGCACATCAGAACATTCGGCCTTTGGTATTTGGGATTGGTGTATTTCACTTAGCATGATAGACTACTGATCTTAATAAAAGAGGACCGTCTGCTATGTTGTAGGGGCACTGTAATCGCCATGTTGTGGAGACTTGAACTTTTAAGAAATAAAACCAAGCATTATCTTGTTTTTCATTTCTAAATGAATTAAACATTATAGGTAAACTTCCCCATTTTTCAGATATGTTCAGATTTACATTGAAGATAGACCAATCTAATTATTTGGTAATAAAGGGGGACAGAGTGACAGTGCAGATACTCCAGAAATATGCTTTAGCAGAAATTTCTTAAAGTTATATTTTATGGGTGTCTTGCTGATCTTGCCTTCCATTAAAGACTATTAATGTGAGAAACTAAAACTAGCGTTTTTATTCTAATTTGTTATGTATGACAGAATGCATTTCAATTCATATTACACTTACAGAGCACAATTTTTCATATTTCTGGTTGTACACAAAGTAGTGTCACACCATTGATGTCTTAAAACATATGCTTAGGGTAATAATGTCCATCTCATTCCACCTTTCCTACCTCCATACCCCCTTCCTTCCTCTCCCTCCCCTTTGCCCTATCTAGAGTTCGTATAACTAGCATTTTTAGAAATATCAAGTACTCTCTTATTGCTTGATATTTTAAAAAATATTGGTACTGTCATATTGCTTATTGGTTAGTCCCCCCCCCCAATTACATTGTAGACTCTAACTTTCTGTCTACCCATTGCTGTTTCTCCCTCCACTCTTTCCTTAGCTCTTCCTTATTTCTTTTTGTCCTGTCACAGAACTAAACCTGGCAAGGGAATGTTTCTTGTTTGTGCCAAGGAACTATAGATGATGATACATAGTGACAAAATAGTAATTTGGCAGTACCTGCTTTTTTCATGTTTCTAATACAAATTGTGGAACAGATTTTGCTGGTTTGTGTGCTTTGACCATTATTCATTGTATTTGTTAGTTCTCTCTAAATAACGACTGGGATACATTATGTATTATTAAAGTGTCAGCTAATACCACCGTTTATGATTACTCTCAAATATCCATTGGTTGAAAACCAAGGGAGTGAGCTAAGTCTTACCCGTGACTGTAAAACATCTTGGAAAGAAGCTGAGAACAATTATTCATTATAAACAGTTTTAAGGACTGTTAAAACTTTGGATATTTAAAAATACACAATTCTGATTCTGCAATCTGCATACAGGGTAAAAATAACCCACTTAAATCAAAGTGTGAAATATGATATGTCAAGAACTATGTAATGTTTTGAACATTTTTTTTAAAAAATACACAGTTCTAAGTGCTATTAAAAGTTTAACCTGTACACTGTATGAAATAAAAAAAAGTTTAACCTGCAAACTGTATGAAATACTTTAATTTTGTGAAGTTTTATTTCTACATTCTATATAATCACAACTATTTTTATATTGATAGTTTTAAATAAAAATGGTTTGGAGGTTTGTTTGCAGTTGTGTTGCCTTTTCCTATATACATCCAACAACTGTTTATTGATTTTCTACCCTCTGACAAGCACTGTCCCAGAGACTGATGATATAGCAGTGAACAAAAAAGCTAAAGATTCCTACTCTGTTGGAGTTTGTGTTCCAGTAGTTGTGACCACCAACTAAGGATATAAAAATATGTTGATACTTTATCAACTGCTAAGAGAAAAAATAGGGAAGCAATAAAATGAGGTATGAAGTATGGCAAACAGGTGGTCAGAGAAGGGGTTGCTGAAGTGATCTTAGACCAGAAGAAAAAAAAACTTAAGCATGCACATTTCTAAGGAGAAAAGAGTGAATAGTGTAAAGGCCCTGAAACTATATACTTTTACTAACATAAATTACAATGTCCCTTCTCAAAGTCACTAAATGAAATGTAATGAAGCAAATTAAACATTTTCAGCTCCAATCTATTGAGTTGATTTGGATGTCTTACAGTTAAAAAGCTACATTTCTAAGTAGGTACTTTAATTTTTGTCGTGTTATACATGCACAGCTTAATAGCGTAAAGGAATATACGATAATGTTGTCAACTATCAAGCCAAATGCGGCGGGGAGGGAAGAGTGAAGAGAAAACTTCCCTGGGGAGCAACAGAACACTTCGTTCTGTCCTCAGAGACACACACATTCCCCGTGGCCAGAGAAGTCTCCTCGTGGAGCCTTAGAGTTTTACCTGAAGTGAATTCAACTAATCTCCGCCTTAAGTTATTTGTTATGTGCTTATTAATGCTTAAAACTCTGAAAGGAGATCTAAACCTTTCATGTTTAGATTTTTGCAGATTAAAAACCTATCATTTCTGGAATTTGCAGTGGACTTCATAAAGAATTTTTTTGTGATGTCAAGTTCAAGGGCAATGAGAAAACGAAATGTTACAAGCCTAGGAATTCTGATGAAAGCAAATGCTTCAGAAGGATTAGCCTGGCAGCAGCATGTAAAATGGAGAGATTGATTCAGATTAAAAACCTCAGTTAAGACCTGAATAAGCCTCTACGGAAAGGAAGCAGCTTCGAATATATGGCACCAGTAGAGATTTGGGCTGGTTTATGTGATGTAACAAAATGTTAAGATTTCTGGTCTGGCACACTGGCCTAAGTGGCCTTTTAGGGTGGCAACATAAGAGAGGTCATAAGATTCTAGAAGTCCTACAAAGCAAAAGATTGTATGATGGAATCTCTTTAATAAAAGAAAAGAAGCTGTAAAAAAGAATCAGGAATATACGCTACTAGGGAGGGACCTCCAGGGTATATTTAGTGACCGTTTGAAGAAAGTAGACTGCAGGACAGATGTACACAGCGGTCACATTGGAACACTGTTGAGACTCCATGAGGTCAAAATTAGGACCGCCGCTGAGACATGGCGCCTCTCACTTCGCTTTTGCACTGAACGTGCAGCGCAGGTTTCCAGGGGCCGTGTGTGCGATATTGCACGGTGGTGTGGATTCACGTTTAACCCCGCTGCCTCTTAGACCACGTGTGCAGTTCTCTGGATGAAGCGGGAGTCACGTGCTGCGGGCATGTGGGGAGTCACGTGGGCCGCAGGAGGCCGTTGGGCGCGCCTGCGCAGCTCCCCAGCGCGGCCTGAGCCTGACTTCCTGGCATCCTGCGCGCGGCTTTCCCGCCAGGATAAAGCCGAAGCGGTTGTCTGCTCGGCTGGGTCTTCTTTCAGGGCCTGGTTTTCGGCCGGGGCTGGGGTCTAGTCTGCCGCTCCGCCATGACACGCGAGCCTGCCAAGAAAAAGGAAAAGCGGCTGTTCGACGCCGTGTCTTTCGGGAAGGACCTGCTGGCCGGCGGCGTGGCGGCCGCTGTGTCCAAGACAGCCGTGGCGCCCATCGAGCGGGTGAAGCTGCTGCTGCAGGTGCAGGCGTCGTCCAAGCAGATCAGCCCAGAGTCGCGGTACCAGGGCATGGTGGACTGCCTGGTGCGGATCCCCCGCGAGCAGGGTGCGTAGGGCGGCCGGCTTCGGGGGAGCCGAGGAGGGTGGCGGGGGGGGGGGGGGGGTGGCGGGGGGGGGGGGGGGGGGGGGGGGTGGGGGGGTGGCGGGTGGCGGGGTGGCGCCCTGCGCGCCTGGTACTGGGCCTGGCGGAAGTCGGCCGGCCCTGCTGCAGGGGCGAGGCCCACACACCGGTGCCAGGGGGACCTCCCAGCACGGGCCACGCCGTTGGGCACTCGGGTTGTGCGGTCACTAGTGCTTAAGATGCTCAAGTAGTCATTGAAATAGTGGGTTTACGAGGAGTATGGAAAGTGCAAGCGTCGGCCACCGATTCTGTGATACCCATCGGTAAAAAGAGGTTCTGCTTATTGGTGAACTTCTGAGGTTGATGCTGAGGCCCTCACCTCTGCACAAAAGGTAAGAGGGCAGAAAGCTCAGTAGTCAAGGTAAAAAGTATTTTAATGTACAATACTGTTAAAAATCAAACTTATGAGGAAAAACAGCAAAATATAAAATTTTTAAATAAAGGGTTAGGGCTAGTGGAATCAGTATTACTAATTTTTCTTTCTTTTTTTTTTTTGCATCAGGCTTCTATTTAAATTTTTATAGAGAGCTGGAGATGTAACTCAGCGAGAGAGGCTGAGGCCGGAGAATGGCAAGGTCAAAGCCAGCCAGAGCAACTTCAAAATACAAAATAAAAAGTGCTGGCCATATAGCTCAGTGCCAGCGCAACCCTGGGTTCCATCCATAGTGCTTCAAAAAAGAAAGTGCTTTGTGAAGAATGATTCCTAAGTTAGCTAAGGGGATAGTAAATTTATCAAAATTTTTATATTATCATATTTGGAAAAAATCTATGCAAACTTTAAAAAGAAAATACACCTATTTATTGTGTAAACAAGAAATGAAGTGGCTTCAGCTCCAGAGCAGTCCTTTCGTCTAAGTCTTGGGTAGGATCTTCTTCCATGGAACAGTAGTCTGCAGGCAGGAAGTGTTAGCACCTGTAGTCCAAGCTATTGGGGAGACAGGAGGCTCTCTTGAATCAAGGACTGGGCCACCAGCCTGGGGACATAGACCTCTGGCCTTTAAAAAAACAATCTTTCTCTCTAGGGATGTGTTTGCAACTTTTCCTTTCCTCTTCAGTAGAATATATGGGTTCAGGGTGGAGTCTGCAGGGTTCATCTGAAATGTGCATTTATAATGCCCGTCAAGTGCCCATCTGGGAGCCAAGCTAAGATTTTTCGTAGTGACCGGTTTGCTTCTCCACATTCCTATGCATTTTATCAAAGCAACTTTCCCATTTCCTGCAAAGTTTTTACAGGAAAATCTGGAACCCATTCCTCCTCCCCTTGTTTATTCTAAAATCCTCTAGAGAAGTATAGGCCTCTTTAATGTTAGTTCATCCATTTTAAATAGTCAACATGAGTATTCTGGTCAGATTGTGCTGACCAGTGCTAATTTATTTTGTGTTTAAAATTTTTTGAATGTTTCCTCCAAAACACATTCAATATGACTTTTGTAACTTGAATTAATTCTAAATACTGTTCTGGTTCCTGTTTTTCTTTTCTTTTTTTTTTTTTAACCTTCCACAATGAGATAACATAAGCAGTGTTTTCTGTTTTTCTGTACAAGGTGGTTAGCATTATCTCATGATAGACTTTGCAGATTATGTTGATTCACAACAGGGATGATACTGCCATCTAGAGGCACTTTGGGAAATTTATGTGGTTTTCTTTTGATTTTAAGTACAAAGAGTTCTGTCATACTCATTTGCAGTAATGTGAAATACAGGGGTCAGTAATGCTACACATCTTGCTGCTATGCACAGGCCAGTCCTATACAATGAAGACTTATACTGCAGTCTGAATGAATTTTATACTTTGCTACTACATTCATGTAGTAGCAAAGCCTGTTTATGATTATTTAAGCCTAGCACCTAATTTATGTATAAACACAAACCTGCCTCTACTTATACAAACTGTCCAAGTCAGAGCTTTATGCACTAATTCTAGTAATACTGTTACCATCTAATGAAGCAGAGGGAAGATTAAACTATTTGGTTCAAAATTTTACTGAGTTGTTTATCATTATGAAACCTCATATCAGCAACTCTACTTTTGGTATTTGGTTACCTTTATATCAATATTTATAGCTATTGTATTCATAGTATTCATTGTATGTGGATAAGTCCTTTTCTCAAACTCAGTGTGTGTCTTAATTACAAAAGATTTGCTGTAAGTAGAGGCAAGAATATGTCTGTTATGTCTATGGCATGATTATTGCCCACCAATTTGCTTATTAAAATATATTGTAAATTTCTTTAATCTCTGTATAGAAGTGAGGGAATTATATTGACTTTTTAAAAGTTGATGAGGTGGTCTTTGTCTTTGTCTTTGAATTTTGTTTCTGGATAGCGAAAGAAATATTGTGAAATAGTTATCATATATAGAAGACTTGAGCCTGGTGGGGTTGAGAATGCATTGTGCTACATCATTCTAGAATCTTAGAGTCGATCAGACTCTGAGATTATATTTTCTGGAATTTGCCTTCTCATGTTTGAAAAGCAAAACTCAAATATTGCAAATGTTCACAAGTTTCTCTTGTTTTACAAATATTCTCTAATTTTATTAACTTCTTTTTTTTTTAAGCAACATAAATGAACCAACAAGATGATCTCAGAAGACACAACTAGGTGTTCTAGCACTATCTTCTTACCTTTTAATCTCTTTCCATCCCAAGGATATATTTCTTCATTATTCCTCTGGATATAGTTCTAATCATCTCTTTGAGTATCTTTGATACTTTTTATAGGGTTTATAAAATTTTATAAGATTTGTCTTGAGTGATGCTCTTCTTTGAAGATGTATTATTTCATTGGTTTTGTCTCCTTCCAACTTTGTGTATTTTTATTTAATACTTGAAATTTTTTACACAAATAATACATGTTTAATAAAAAATAGAAAATATTAAAAAAGCAAAAAAATTAAATCACTGTTAAAAATCACTTCATTTAACTTGGCACAATGGTGCATGCCTATAATCCTAGTGACTGGGGAGGCTGAAGCAGGACGATTGCAAGTTGGAGCCCTATTTCAAAATAAAAAGGACTAGAGATCCCAGTTTCAAGGAGTCCATGAATTCTGTGAAATATATGTTAAAATAATTAATGTAGGTGAGATTGTGTTTTTACAGTCATATTAAGAATTGCCTGAATAGTTTTTAACATTTTGTTGTTGTTAAACTTCTGGGGATTTGTTTCTAGATTTTCATTGAAACTTGATATTTGTTTTCCTACACATGGATTTTTTTCACACAAATACAGTTTTCCTAAAATAAACACATTCTTCAGCCAACTCTAGTAAAACTCCTTTGATTATAAATCTGGTGCTCCTTCATGTTCTTAGGTTAGTTTCCAGATGTCTTTGTCATTAAAATCTTTCATGTATATTCAATTCATTACCCAAAGTTAAAAACCTTGTACTATTATTATATATAATACTCATTTTGTGAAATGTTTAATTTTGTAATCATAATTACATAATTTTAACTCATAATATGAAACCCATATCTCATACTAGCAGCTGAATTAGCCATTTCCAAAGTGACCTTTAATATTTGAACCATGTGTAAAATGTGAATACCAATACCATTCTCATGACACTTTTTCCAAACTCAGTTAAGTGATTTTTGTTAAAAATGAGTTATTTCTGTTTAAATTTCTCTCAATTAGATTGGTGAGATTTCTGCAAAAAAGTGATTTCTGATTCCTTTAAAATTGTCTTTAGCCTCTGCCAATAACGTGCTTTTATGCTACTATAACCTATGGTTCAGAAGATTCAGTCTTAAATTTTTTTTAATATCTTTATTTTGTTTGTTTATTTTTATATGGTGCTGAGGATCTAACCCCGTGCCTTACATGTGCGAGGCAAGTGCTCTGCCACTCACTTACTCAACATAGTTCACTAAGTTCTTTCTCTCCAGAGGTCAGACCTCTGAGAAAATACAAATGCTTAACTGTGTTCTTGAAAGTTTTTATTAACCACTAAGAACTTAGTATCAGTGTAAATATTGTAAAAATACCTCCAACAATTAGATCACTACCTTCCCCAGTAATTCATTCTAGCTCTAACTAGCAATAAATATTCCTGTATAATTTGCTTGTACTTCTTGAGTTTTAAAAATTTTGCTTCCATTAAAGAAAAACAGTTGAGTTTTCTTAGCACAGAAAATATTTGCATGATTGAAGAACTTAAGAAGTGAATTGTTTTGCAGACTGCTTAGGTTTGAATTCCAGCTAATAACTTTATGACCAAGTTATACTAGGCAAGCTACTTAAAACTATCATGTGCCTTAGAAGTTACTTTTTTTTTTTTTTAGAAGTAGGTAGACACAGTATCTTTATTTATTTTTATGTGGTGCTGAGGATCGAACACAGTGCTTTATATGTGTGAGACAAGCATTCTACCACTGAGCTACAGCCCCAGCCCCTAGGAGTTATTTTTATCTCATTATTTCATCTGGAAAATGGGAAGGCTATTAGTACCTACTTCATGGGTAGTTAGGAGGGTTAAATGAGTTGAAAGAAGTTTCTAGCCAGGCACCTTGGGAGGTTGATGGAGCAGGATCACAACTTTGAGGCCAGCCTTAGCAATTTAGCAAGATCCTGTCTCAAAATAAAAAGGGCTGGGGAATGTAGCTCAGTGATAAAGTGCCCTGAGTTCAATCTCTAGTACCAAAAAAAAAAAAGTTGTTTCTAGCAAATTATCATTATTTTTCTCTGTGTTAATGTTGCCTCAAAAATAATTTTCCCAGCTTTATTGTAGAAAAATTGACAAAAATTGAATACATATACTGTGTACAGGGGGATGTTTTGATAACATGTTTACATTGTGAATTACACAGTCAAGTTAATTAACACACCCATCACCTCACATATGTAAAATTTTGTGTGTGGTAAGAACATTTAAGATCTATTCTCTTAGCAAACTTTAAGTGTACATACAGTATTAACTATAACCACTATGCTGTATATTAAATATCTAACACTTATCCTTCATTACTGAAACTTTGTATCCTTTAAACAACTTCTGTTTTCCTACTCCCTGTCCTGCATACATACTGGCCCAGCTTTTGATAATTACCCTCTACTCTTTGCTTCTGTTAGTCTGATTTTTTTAGATTCCGTCTATTAGTGAGATCATATGGTATTTGTCTTTCTGTGCCTGGCTCATTTCACTTAACGATGTACTTAAGTTTCATGCATGTTGTTGCAAATGACAAGATTTTCTTTTTTGAGGCTGAATAACATGTTTCTGTTTGTGTACCATGTTTTCCTTATCCATTCATCTGTTGATGGGTACTTAGGATGATGCTACTGTCATGGTGTTTGTGAGCAGTGCTGTGGTAAACATGGGAGTGTAGATATCTCTTTTGCATACTGGTTGCTGTTCCTTTGGGGAGATACATATACACATACATACTGAGTAATGGGTTTGCTTGATCATATTAATTCTAGTTTTAGCTTTGTTGAGGAACCTCCATACTGATTTCCAGAAGGGCTATACTAATTTATATTCTACCAACATTACAAGAGTTCTCCTTTCCCCAATACTTCACCAACACTTGTTTTCTTTTGTCTTTTTGATAATAGCCATTCTCACCCACATGAGATGATATTTTCACTGCATTTCCCTAATGATTACTGGTGTGTAACATTTTTCATATACCCATGGCCATTTGTATATCTTCTTTTGAGAAATGCCTGTTCTAGTTCTTGACCAGTTTTTTTAATAGACTGATTTTGTGTATTCTCCAAGCTGGGACTAAAAGTGTCCCTATTTAGATTGCTTGTACAGTCATACCTTTTGGTAGTTGGCTATCTAATGGTAAACTACCAGTGGTACTGAAGAGCTAATGTACCATATTCTAGGGCAGCTTTGACTTATAAGGACTACTCTGAATTTTAGAAGTTACACAGTGACTGAATTATGAGGATTAGTTAGTCCAAGAATTGAGGTTAAAAGGTTATTAACCTCAGAGGCTGGGGTTACAGCTCAGTGGTAGAGCGCTTGCCTTGCACGTGTAAGGCCCTGGGTTCAATCCTTAGCACCACATAAAAATAAATAAATTTTTTTAAAAATGTTATTAACCTCAAAAGTTTCTTCTGGTTTGTCTATCAGCCCTCTAGAGATTGTCTTGAATGGAAATGGATCCCTTTTCTAGCTAAATTCCATCCCCCATTCGCTGTGATTTCAGAACATAAAGACAAGAGTGTTTAGTTTCTTTTATCCCCTTCTCATTCTCATAGTATATGTACAAACCAACAAGTGGATATATTTGTAATAACCTGTAACTCCATAGAGTTTGCATGTCAAGGCTTGTGGATGAGACCAGTCTCTGACAAATATTAGTGAGCTCTTTTTGTACTAAAAATCCCCATATTCAAGTAGTAATGCTTTCCATAAGTGTTTTAGTTGTTTAAGGCTTTTTATTTGAAATTAACAAAATTGGCTGCATAGTTAACATTGCCTTTTTTCTTCAGTGGAGAAACATATATTTTAGAAACCTGTATTTTTTTTTTCATGAGGAAGTTCAAATAATTAAACATGTTAAAACTTTAGTAATTATGCAATATTAGATTTATATATTTGTACATTTCCTTTTAAAGGTTTCTTCAGTTTTTGGCGTGGCAATTTGGCAAATGTCATCCGGTATTTCCCAACACAAGCCCTAAACTTTGCTTTTAAGGACAAATACAAACAACTCTTCATGTCTGGAGTTAATAAAGAAAAACAGGTAATTAAATTTCAGTGTCTCTGAAAATTTCTTTAAAGGGGTTAGATTATGTGTGATGTTTGATTTGGGAAGCAGGGCATTCTACTGGTCAAAGCAAAGCAGGACATATTAATAAATTACAGTATGTATTAAGTTATAGAACTATATGAAGAAAGGAATTGGGTTAACTTTTGCAGATTTCACTAAATCTTTTGACACAACTTTAATAAGGGACCCTTTCTTAAGACAGTGTTTTCTGAATAAATATTATATGTAATTTGCATCTTACTATCACTGCTTTTCTTAAACCCGGAAAGCAATTAACAAATATCACTGACTGATTCATTCCCTAAATAAGTAAATTATTTCTTCTTTATGACTAAAGATCTATTTAGCTAAGATTAAAGAGTATGGAGAAGACCAAATCAAACAAAATAAAAATGATAAACTTTTTTCTTTTTTAGTGAAGATGCTTTTTGGTTTTCAGGGTAATTACTCCCTTGGTTATAAAATCTCAGTTTTAAGATTTTCTTCTCATATTAACTACATGTCATTTGACCTGATTTCTGTTTGTTTTGTTGTGTTTAATACACTGTACCATTTTTTATTATTCCTAAGGTCTTCCCCTCGCTTTTATGAAATCTTCGCTTTTCTCTCTCTCCCACTCCTCATTTCTTACCCCACCCGAACCAACCAACTCTTATCAGGTATTTTATAAGGCAACAGTTCATGGAACATTTAATACTACCTCCTTTTATTTCCTTTTATACTCCTTATTCCCTTTATTCTGAAGTTTTGTTTCATTAAAAATGTATATTGGAAGCTCTGCACTGCTTTCAAGTTTGAGGGAATACAAAGGTAACTAAAACATTTCTTTTGACTTAGAATTATATTTGGATTTGGCTCCTGCACTCTATTCATTTAGCTGTGTGGGTTTTTGAAAGTCAGTTTACTTCTCAGATATCTATGTTTCTTGTCTGACAATTGGACATCATAATATCTACCTCATAGTTTTCTTAAAATATTTTTTAGTTGTAAATGGACACAATATCTTTATTTTATTTATTTATTTTTATGTGGTACTGAGGATTGAACCCAGTACCTCACACATACAAGGCAAGCTTTCTACCACTGAGCTACAACCCCAGCCCCTACCTCATAGTTTTAATGTAGGTTTAGATATGATTACTTGTCAAGCACTTGGCATAGTGCTTTGCTTTATGGTGGACATTCAGTAAAGTGTTCTTTTTTAGCTGGCAACTCTGATAATTAGAACTTTCTTTGACTCAGAATCTTCCCTTTTCCCTTGTCACATTCCCTAAGACTACCCTCATGTTTAGTGATTCACTAGAAGGAAAAAAGAAGTTTTACTCATGATTTATAAAAGGATTTAAATTAGTCATAATTAAAAAATAGCACATAGAGAATCCAGTAACAATTTCAGTTGTGTTCTCCTAGAAGAGTCACATAGACAGTATTTACGTCTGCCAACAGTGTGTGACAACATATGTGATGTGTTTGCAACCAAGGGAGTTCTCATCAAGCATTGGTGTCCAGGTGTTTTAGTTAGTCTCTCAGTGCTGTAACTAAAAGACCTGACAAGAACAATTTTAATGAGAAAAGGTTTTATTTTGGGACCCATGGTTTCAGAGGTCTTTATAGATAGCTGACTCCATTATTTGGGGCCTAAGGTGAAGCAGAGAGAGCTCCTCTCACCAGAGACAAAATGTGAACCAAAAGGCACACCCTTCCAAATGACCTACTTCCTCCAGCCACATCCTATCTGCCTCCAGTTACCACCCAGTTAATCCCTATCAGGTGATTAATGCACTGATTAGATTAAGATCCTCATAACCTAATCACGTCTCCTCTAAAGTTTCTTGCATTGTCTCACACATGCACTTTTAGGAGACAACTTACATCTAAACCATAACAGGAATTTTATTCAGGGTCCAGTTCTATAAGTATGGGATGTAACTGGCTTAGCTACTCAGTGTCCAACCCCTTCCAGAACCCAAACTGTTATAGCTTATCATAAAGCCCCAGAAGACAAAAACAAGTATTTACAATAAATTACAACATTAACATAATCTATCCCAGCTGACTAGCTGACCTTAACCCATTGTAGACTTTGAAATAGCCCTATAAATTAGTTCCAGCCCTTCTCAGTAGCAGAGCAGGCCTGCTCACCTATAAACCTTCCAGGAGACACCTGTCTGTCACCCCAGAGACAGGCCTAAAGATCTTGGTCTTTGTTATAGATGCTGAGACAACTATATATGACCCGATCCCATCAACCCTCAGCTGCGGGCTGCAGCAGTATAGCCTATCAGGGATACAAAAGGAGCTGTCCCAGAGATAGGAAGAAGCCATCCTGTCAGAACACTGGGTGGTAAATCCACCATCCATAAACTATGAAACAGACCCTCATAGACTAAGGTGTTGGAGATAGTCTGGTCTATTCAGGGATTAGATAAGATTCATACCTGCCAGAGTTCCCGATAAGAGGCTGGACACTTGTAGTTCTCACTGTGGACCCAAAGAGTAGCCATGTGGCTTGAATCCAGTCCTTTTGAACCACTATTCTGGAAGCAGTACTGTGAGCTCAAGAGACCTAACAGAAGACTTTAACTTTCTGAAGCCAGTCTATAAAGACTGAGGAAGGATATGTTCTTTCAAATACATGGGACATCAATGGAAGGCTATACAAAAAAAAAAAAAAAAAAAAAAAAGAGTTAGGCAAACATGACACTAACAAATGAAATTAATGAAGCTCGGGTAACTGAAAACAATTAATATAATATATTAACTAACCCCAAATTATATTAATTGCCTGTAAAAGACCTCAAAATAATCATCTTAAAGGAGCTCAGTGAGATGCAAGAAAATCCAGCAACTAAATGGAAGTAGGAAAACAGTACATGACATAATGGGAACTTTAAGGAAATAGAAACCATGCAAAAGAACCAAGCAGAAATTCTAGAGCTGAAGAATATAGTAACAGAACTGAAAACTCAGAACTGAGAGAGTTTCAACAGTAGACTTGATCTTACCAAAGAAATAATTAGCAAACTCAAAGACAGGTCATTTGAAATTAGTCAACTAGAGAAAAAGAAAAAAAGGATTTGAAAATAATAGTAGCATAAGGGACTTAAATGACAACATCAAACATGTGTACATGAATTATGGGAATATAAGGAGAAAAGGAAGAAGAAAGCTTATTTAAAGAAGACTGTCTTAAAAACTAAATCTTGGGATATGCCCATTCAAGTTGAGGAAGGTCAGAGGACTCCAAGCAAGATAAATCTAAAAACTAATGCTCAAAGACACATTATAATCAAACTACCAAAAGAATCAAAGCAGTAAGAAATGAAGGTCATGTATGATGGAAACCACTGAATAGACTTCTCAACAGAAACTTTTAGGCCAAGAAGGAGTGGGATGACATCTTCAAAGAATACTATACCTAGAAAAGATGTTATTTTGAATGACAGATAAAAGATATTCCAAAACAAACAAAACCAGAGTTCATCATAATGTGAATGACCAGCTTTATAAAACATGTTAAAGGGAATTGTGAGTTGAAATGAAGAGGCACTAAATATCAACAAGAAACCATATGAAAGTATAAAACTAACTGAAAACAGTTAATACGTAGTCAAATTCTAATACTTTCAACGTGATGTGTATATAACCTTTAACCAGTATAAAAGTTAAAAGACTAATGTACTAGACATAGTCATTCATCACTTGATATGAATACATTCTGAGAAATGTGTCATGAGACAGTGTTATCACTGAGCACATGCAGACATCATAGCATGTGCTATACAAACCTAAATAGTATAGCTACTAAACACCTAGGAATTGTGGTTCTGTGTTTGTGTGTGTGTGTGTATATATATATATATATACAGATATATGTACATATATACACATTTATAAGTATACATTTGGAAATGTAGAAGTATATACACACGTATGTGAATAGTATACCTATTGCTCCTAGGATCATGATGAACAAAACACAAGATTGAACACAAGAGAGGGGTTGGGAGTGTAGCTCAGTGGTAGAGTATATGCCTTATATACGTGAGGCCCTGGGTTTAATCCCTTGTGTACACATACATACACATGAAAGGAAGAGATGAATTTAACAGAAAATTATGTGGTCAGGAGACATTTTAAACAAGATGTATAAGGTTGCTGCATACTGTTTCACAGTAAACTTTTTGTAAATAAATAGGGAGTACACGAAAATAAAAGTACAACTAAGAGAGCAGGGAGGAAGAGCATGAGAAGAAGATCACCATTAAACAGGGACGAGAGGCAGGAGGGAAAGGGAGAGAGAAGGGAAATTGCAAGGTAAAGAAAGGAGACCCTCATTGTTATACAAAATTACATATAAGAGGAAGTGAGGGGAAAGGGGAAAAAAAACGAGAGAGAAATGAATTACAGTAGATGGGGTAGAGAGAGAAGATGGGAGGGGAGGGGAGGGGAGGGGGGATAGTAGAGGATAGGAAGGGCAGCAGAATACAACATACACTAGTATGGCAGTATGTAAAAAAGTGGATGTGTAACCGATGTGATTCTGCAATCTGTATACGGGGTAAAAATGGGAGTTCATAATCTGCTTGAATCAAATGTATGAAATATGATATGTCAAGAGCTTTGTAATGTTTTGAACAACTAATAAAAAAAATAAAAAATTAAAAAAATGAGAAAGCCACCATAAATAAATAAATAATAAAAGTATAATATATTAAATATCTAAATCAGCAACCTAGTCATTTTTTATCATTAGCAAGTATGTGCTGCACAGAGTTGTATGTTCTATATATACTTTTATATGCCTAGCAGTGCTGTTTACATAGCATCATCACAAATGTGTGATGAATGCACCATGACTAAAAAGTGCACAGTAGTCAATATGTCCATCAATAAAGAAGAAAGATCTCAATTTATTAATATATAACGAACTAGACCAAAAAACCCCAAAATAATAGAAGGAAAAAAAATAA